GACGTTATTTCAGCAAAAAAGGATTTAACTGGCTTTAAAAGTTACAATGGATGTGTTGATTATTATCTTTTTTTCGGACGTCAAAGCGATTTAACAATTGCGGTTGTCCAATTATGTCATCTTTTAACTTTTATCTGGTCAAAATTTTATTTTAGAACGAATGCATGATCAACTTTAAAAAGTGTGCAAACACAAAACATATAGACAAAATATACTTCTTTCCTGTCTTTTTCGTACTTGCAAGTTATTAGACAGTAAAAAGGCTATTTGGATCAAGCCTTGTGAAATTTGCATTTACGTTTTTGAACACTGAAATGCAGTCAAGTTTAGCGATTGATAATTCATTGATAACATTCTGGCGTATCACAAACAAACAACTTGTAACGTCTCATTTCATTGGCCGAAAGATACAACAACAATTGTAGTGTGCACGTGAATTGACACAGGTGACCGACAATGGAATGTACTACGTTACTACGAACGTAAAAAACAATGATTTTTGGTCGAAATAATTAAATAAGTATTTTGTGAATTTCAAATAGTGGGGTCGAAATATTATACTAATAATTTGTGTTAAGTAAATTAATATTCTTTATGCATGCAGCACTTGTACCGCACTATGAAAAATATAAGGATAAAATAAAATACATGTGCCGTTTTTATACGGATGAATGTATGAACCACTTTAATTTCTTTCATATTGACGCTAGGTTACAGTACACACAGAGAGGATGTAATCTCATACTCCCTACACTGTGTAAAAACTTGGTGTCACACCAAGAAACTCCAGCAACTCTCTCCAAATCTTGGGAGGAAATTGGGAGAAACTTGGAGTAATTCCTCCCTAAAACTCCTTAATTGTTTATTACCTTGGTGTGGTTTCTCCCAACAACATGATTTTTATTGCTATGATTACCTTTGAAGTGTGCCAGTAGTTGATGACTACAATAAACATTTCTTGTGTTTCCTGTCATTAAATGACAGTCACAAAAATGATAAAAAGTGTGAGATTTATTAAATTTAATCAGAGACATATTATAATCTGATTTTATTAAAGAATCCTGTACAACTTTATTTATTAAAATTATATTCAGCATTTGTTCTGACAGTGTTGGGTTTTCATACCTAAGAAACATACAAAAACAAACAAAACATCACCTGTAAGTGGAGTATTATTAATAGAAAATAAAGACATATATTTTAATTGAATTTATTCAATCGTTTTTTCTAAATTTAAATGATAAGAAATAAAGGAAGATTATATAAATATAATATATATATATGTAATTTATCTACATTATTTTATTTTATTCATTATTTTTTTTTGTATCATTACTATTATTTTTTAAACCATGTATATACTAATATCTATATGTTTAAACTGACTATCATTGACTATGAATACAACTTATTGTAAATATCAAGTTGCCATTCTTGATTATGAGATTATGAAAGAATGTAAATAATTTTCCAATCTAAAAATACATATTTGTATAAAAATTTTAAAAATCATTTCGTTAACCTTTTTTTATAGCTTTCAGAAATAAAACTAAATAGGAAATGATTGAAATAGGAAGAAGTGAGAGAATAGTTGACATGTAATTATGTCACTGTCAGACCATGCAGTCGTGCTTTGTTGATTTTTATTACTCTTACCTGCAATCAACAGGTCATAAAACCCTCCCAGATGGGAGTAATTACTTGGTGTTTTTTGGGAGAGAAATCTGTGTTTCACAGTGTGACACTGTGTTACACCAGAATCAGTGTTGGGAGTATGAGATTACATCCTCTCTGTGTGTACTGTATTATCCTGACAATGTCGTAGTTATTTTTAATAAGGATCTCATAATACTGATCCATTTCAAATTTATGATGGGTTGCACATTCCTCTTTTATTGTTTAATGCTATAAAACGAAAATAAAGTAGCTAAGCGTTTGGTCATTTCAGAAATGACGTGTCATAAACGAGCAAATTGTCCCCGAAAGATCGTATCATGTGTGCACGTGAATATAGATGTACTATGCAATGTACTATCATGGTCACCACGAAATTCAAATGAATTCAGTGAAGGCATGTTGGTGTAAAAAGGTTTGAAATGTTTCATCGGCGAAGATTTTATTTTTGCATGTGTGGAACTAAAAAATAAATAAATACTTGTGAGAAATGTCGTAGTTTATAAGGAACTATATAAATGTACTGTTTTCGATTTAAATTGATTGAAAATTTATCCTTTAATTTCATACCGTAAGAACTGAGCTTTGCGTAACATTGTTGAACTATCCGCCAAAGTAACGTGTGGCATGGGTGCGTATTAAAATGAAATACATGTATGATAAACTTATAAACGAAATATTAAGAAATTAAGGATGACTACTGTAAAAGTATGTACAAAAATGGAGTCACCTTTTATCAATACATTTAGTGAATAACCACACTGTTTAAAACTGATTGTTTTCTATGCAACTATTTAAATATTTACAATATATAATTTTCAACCGAGGATAGCAAAACAGTTAATTATAAATTAAGAAAGTATATCGCTGGAGTTTATAAAGTACATTTCCTTCCACTGTGCCATGGTTTGCCATCTCCATTTTTTCTCTAAACAAAGCATGGCTGGTTACATGTTCTGAATTTACTTAGAATTTCGGGATTTTTTTTTCAAAATCAAGTAAACTAAATCAGTAAAAAAAATCACACTATCCTAAAACTTATGAAAGAATATGAATAATGAACATGACAGTTTATAACACAAACCCATTTACTATAAAAATCGAGCAATATCTTTAGTATGTAATTTGGTTATTTTTGTAGTTAAGTACGGTTTCATTTCATGTACAACGTTAATTCATCAAATCCATTGAATAAAAGATAAGGCTGGGTGAGCAACTTGACAAAAAAAGGCAGGATGACAATTTATTTAAAAAAATCAGGATAAACTAATAAATATAGTCAGGACCTAACAGACTGAAAAATAGAAAGACAGGACAGAGATAACAACTAAAAAAAATGCAGGACAAAATGTTTCATCCAAGTCCCCCACCCCCAATCAAAATAAAATGGTAGCTCCCTTAATCCAGAACCAATTGAGAGGAGACAGTTGAATTAAATATTTCGACGTGACTGTTAAGATTAAAGTTGAAAATTTTACATGCACATGTATAAAAGCTAGAATTGCCATGGGATAATCAAGAACACAATCATGTACGTGAATATGACGATGGAAGTTTTTAACGACCTTGACCGGCTACGTGAATACTGATCAGTCCATTCAGCTTTATAGTACGCGTGTTCTATTTTCGCAGGTGTGAGGTCGAAGGTTTGAATTGACCAATGAAAACGATCGTTCCTTAACGAGTTAATCTAATAAAGTTTGTTTGACCGATTATGTTGCACGACCTTTCGCTAAGCTTGGCCGCAGTTCAGTATAAAATGTATAGTTTGATGATCTTTTCTGCTAACTACTATACTTGTGAAAAACCTTTGGCAACAGAAACATATTCAGCTTTTTTTTTAATCGACCCAATTTACATAGTAATGGACGACTTCGTACATTTTATGATCGCAAATAAAATATGTATATAATATACTGTGCACTGTAGTTCGTATATATACTGAGACCCTTTGGCAACCCCACAGTTTAAATGTTTATAATAAATACGTCGGGAGTTGTGGGCGTTACAGACGAACGTTCACCTAATCTGACCCAGTCAATGGGATATTTCAGCGCGCCAATCAATGGTCTCGGCTACACTGTTTTGCACATGGTTCTATTTCAATTTATGGCATGAAATTTACAAAAGGGCTGTTTAACTGCATCATTGGTATTTGTAAATAAAGTATTCCACTTTCAGGAACAACAAAACATGAAAAAGGCCAAAAAAATATATATGTCTGTTTAAGGTTACAGACTTTTAAAAAATAGGGTAGGTAGGTCGGTATTTTATTTTTTGAGTCATGCCGTTTTGTCTTGTCATGGTCTGAGTTTACCCATATTTTTAATGATTGGATTATTTCCTTTGGTAATTGGTTGGAAAAAAATGGCGGCAAAGTGTTTATTTCATCACACGAGTTGAGAATTTCCTTAAAACAGCTGTCATATTCACGATTGTGAACATTTGGATGTATCAGGCAATTGATTTATATTATTTGCAACACTAATTTCACTTTTGACAAGAGTTCAGTTTATTTTTCACTTTACGACGGAAATAAAATGACTAGGCATGTTAGGGTCGGTCGGGTAACCGTAAACAGACATATATTTTTTTTTGGCCTAAGTGAAGCCTTGTTTTTTCTAGAACTCAAAAACATTCAAATCTTTTGTTTATGAATCAATTGACCAAGCTGCATGCTACAGGTGTAACTGACCATAACTGAATTATGTTCACTTCTATTGAAAATTTCTATTCATAAAATTTAAGTGCTCAAGTGATTAAATTATCTTTTTGCCATCTCATAATTGATGATCAAGGTATGAATTGATGAACAAAGGATTACTTTGTTGTGAAATAAGTGCCACTTTATTTGAACTTAAGACAAAGTAGCCATTTATGCTTGAAATTGCAGAATTTAACATAGAAAGCAATGGGGCTATGAATTAGTGGTTTCATACCTTAACACACAGATAACCAGAAAGTGAGTTTTCAAAAGATGAAATGATTGCAAACCCATTTATATTGATTATTAATTATTTTATGTACATGCTGGATATAATGTAAAAAAATAGGTTAATAAGTGAATTAGTTCTAATTTGATGCAGGAGGAGGAAATTTGAAAACACATTGAAACTTGAAATAAAATAGTATGAAGTACAATATATACTTAATTTATTCAAAACTCTATTACTTGTACATTTCCATTATTGGCATTTTGTGTATAATTATTATGATTACAGATAAAATTATGGAATTTGAATTCAACAGTTACACTAAATTACTATCTATGTACATATTAAGATAACCTAACAAGAATCAACAGGAAGATTTATTTTTCAGTAAGAAGATAAATAAACAATGGCAGGAAGGACAAGATTGCATTCAGATGTTGTGTTTGGAGACACTGCTCAAGACGATGATATCTCCTTCAGGAATCCCAAGAAGAGGATTTTGTTTGACGAGGAGAGCACCAATACACCTGTGGAGATCTCTGAACACATGAAATGTTATCTCAGGATTAGGCCTTTCTCAGAAGAAGAAGTAGATAGCAAGGAAGACCAGGTATACTGTTCTGTACCAGTAGAACACACACAAAGTTATTTAAAACCTGTACGAGGAATCAAGCTGTGGTTTACTTGGCTTTTTTATCCAAGATATTTAACTGGTTTCAACACGGGAAACAGTCTAACTTAATAGTCATTAGTGCTTGTTAAAAAATGACATTAAAAAAAAGGGTCAGTCAAGTTACACAGATACACATGTGTTTTTTTTTCGACCTTAGTGAAATAAAGCTTCATATAATCAATTATGCCAAATATGTAACCTCAATGAATAAGAATAGAATGAGAAGTTCAGACTCTATCAATTGCATTATTCTCAAGGATTCCTGTGTTTATGCAATGCAATGCAGTCTTTAAATAAAACAATACATTCAAGTTAAAGTTCAGTTTTTATCATCATTTACATAATCAAAAAGTAGTGATTTTGTTACCGGATTGTCAAATCTGACTTTTGGATATCTTTTGTTGTTATTTTGTTGCATGTAAACTACTTTTGTTAATCCATGCATTCAATATCATTATTTTTCAGAAATGTCTGACGATTGAAGATGAGCATACAGTAGCCACACATGCACCAAAGGAATCCCATACATTTAAAAACTGTACACATGGTCTAGGAAAGACTACTCATAAATTTAAATTTTCCAGAATTTTTGATTCAGTAACAACACAGAAGGACTTTTTTAATGAAACAATGCTTGGTCTTGTTAAGGACTTTATTGATGGACAGAATTGTTTAGTGTTTACTTATGGTGTAACAAGTTCTGGGAAAACATACACAATTCAAGGTAACTATGGGTTTTAATGTATCATCTACTATGTCAGGCAAAATCAGTTTTACAACAACATTTATATGCTATTCTTGTAAGAACAGGTTAGGCACGTTTTTGACACTGTTGCTGTAAATCTTGAAATAAGGGAATGAGATTTTTACACAGTTTCATATAATTTCCTACTAGTTTTTTTCAAATTTTTCAAGACAAACAGTAATGAATAAAATAAAAACAATATAAAGTAATAAACTGAAATATCAACCTTCACATTTATTTTAATGAAATAATGAAAGCAGCATATATTCACTTCTTGAACAAAATGATAGTTTCACTTAATCTCATATGAGAGTGATTTCTCACAAATTATAAATTTTTCCTCATACCCAACAACTTTTGGCTCCAAGGATTTTCATCAAGGACCTATCCAGAATTTTTCAGAAATAAAAAGTTCAATAACCTAACAATTTAAAGAAAGTTATACTTCTGGGACCATTAGTTTTGTTAGATTAAAAGCCTAGTGGAAAAGATGAAAACAAAAAGAGTTTTTGGACTTTGCAAAGAAATTATGCATTCTTGTCATCAGAGATCTGCCTTCAAAGATTGGTTTTAATGTTAAGCATATTTCAATATACATTATTAATTTGTCTTACATTAAGGTGTTTTTTCTGTTGTTCAAGGAGAAAATTATATGAAATGGTCAATATCTAGCTTATGCTGTTGACTTAAATCCAAAAAGGATTTACTTACATGACTTAGGAATGTTTTAAAGACAAATAAAAAAATTTGTGTAAAACAAATTACATTAATTTCAACAGAAACATGAAAAGTTACACAATATCTACACCTTAAACTTTAGAAATACCGGTATATTCCAAAACACAATCTCAATCCGATTTGTTGACAAATTTTTGTTGTTGATAACTCTGATCTCAACTGGTAGGTAACTGAAACTACAGGTAATCTTTTTTGCCAGTCATTCAAAGTTTAACTGATATAGTGCATGTAGTGATTGATGTCTGTCTGCATCTGCCAATCTAATGAACAGTTTACAATTTCAGGAAAACCTAAAGATGCAGGAATTTTACCACGAGCTCTAGATGTGTTGTTTAACAGTATAAATGGTAAACAGTGGCCTAATAATAATCTGAAGCCTAAGATGTTTATGGATGTAACTAGACTGTCGTCAGATCAAGCAGCACAAGAAATAAAAATAAAGGAGAGGACATTGAAGATGGTTACATTTGATGTATGTTTGGCAGTCATATATTTTAAAGGCACTTATGTAGGCCTGATGAGTTGTTGTTGAGAAATCTTCCCTTTTATTCTTTTAAATTTCAATAATTGAACGATATTATTTTGACAACTGCATGGTTTCAGTTCAAAAATCTTACCTAAAACTGAAATCTTGATTCACTTTTAGTTAACTATATTTCAAAATTTACTATAAAAGTCTTTGGAAAATTGCACTTTTAAACGAAATGTTATAATAATGCAGTGAAATATATTTCGCAGAATCCTTTAAACACATGAAATAATGACTTTTAACAGTACACAGGGAATAAATCAGATCAGAAGCGTTCTAACTGCTTAACTGGTCTGGAATGAAATGCTGATATGAAATTTTATCATGATTTAAAACTGATTCAATAAGTCTATTGGATATACAGTGAGGCAGTTGCACACTGAATCATCCAGGCATCTACATAAATAAATGAAGACTTACCGTGAAAATAATAAGGGCTGTTCCATAAAAACATACATGGGACCCAGGGAAAGCAACTTAAATTTGCCACTATGGATGGGTATGAAATATTGTATTGTATGGGTTTAGATGTATGCAGGACTCTAAAATCGCTTCTATGGGTGGTCACTCTGTTTGCAAAGTGCCTTCCCTGGGTACAATGTATGTTTTAATGGAACAGCCCTAAGGAAAAAAAAGCTTGGACACTGGTGCTCCATGCATGTTTCCATCTCCTCAAATGTCCTTGTTCTCTTCCTTGGTATGGAATGCTAAGATGCTTAGGTGCTTAATAAGTAATGTAGGGGACTTCAAGGTTAAAAAAATTATTTTGGGGGTCTGTTCTTTTTATTTTTTGCGCAGGGTATAATGTTTTTGACCCGTCCGTCAGTCCTGTTTCTTGTCATCGCAACTCCTCTCAAACCACACAACAGAATTTCATGAAACATTTTTAGATAATAAGGACATACTATGTAGATGTGCATATCGACAGGAAATTACGATTCAATTTTTTTTAGGAGTTATGCCCCTTTGAACTTATTTGCTTCAATATACTACTGCAACAGTTTGTCATCGCAACTCCTCCGAAACCACACAACAGAATTTCGTGAAACCTTTTTAGATAATAAGGACATACTATGCAGATGTGCATATCGACAGGAAATTACGATTCAATTTTTTTCGAGGAGTTATGCCCCTTTGAACTTATTTGCTTCAATATACTACTGCAACAGTTTGTCATCGCTACTCCTCTGAAACCACACAACAGAATTTCATGAAACTTTGTAGATAATAAGGACATACTACATAGATGTGCATATTGACAGGAAATTATGATTCAATTTTTTTTTTCTTACTGTTATTTTATTGTCGAGCCTGCGACTTTTGTCGCAGAAAGCTTGACATAGGGATAGTGATCCGGCGGCGGCGGCAGCGTTAGCTAACTTCTTAAAAGCTTCATATTTTAGAAGGTGGAAGACCTGGATGCTTCATACTTTGTATATGGATGCCTCATGTTACGAAGTTTCCGTCAGTCACATGTCCAATGTCTTTGACCTCATTTTCATGGTTCAGTGACTACTTGAAAAAAAAGTTAACATTTTTTGTAATGTTAAATTCTCTCTTATTATAAGTAATAGGATAACTATATTTGGTATGTGCGTACCTTGCAAGGTCCTCATGCCTGTCATACAGTTTTCACTTGACCTCGACCTCATTTCATGGATCAGTGAACAAGGTTAAGTTTTGGTGGTCAAGTCCAGATCTCAGATACTATAAGCAATAGGTCTAGTATATTCGGTGTATGGAAGGACTGTAAGGTGTACATGTCCAACTGACAGGTGTCATCTGACCTTGACCTCATTTTCATGGTTCAGTGGTTATAGTTAAGTTTTTGTGTTTTGGTCTGTTTTTCTTATACTGTATGCAATAGGCCTACTGTATTTGGTGTATGGAATGATTGTAAGGTGTACATGTCCAACTGGCAGGTGTCATCTGACCTTGACCTCATTTTCATGGTTCAGTGGTTATAGTTTTGGTCTGTTTTTCTTATACTGTATGCAATAGGTCGACTATATTTGGTGTATGGAATGATTGTAAGGTGTACATGTCCAACTGGCAGGTGTCATCTGACCTTGACCTCATTTTCATGGTTCAGTGGTTATAGTTAAGTTTTTGTGTTTTGGTCCATTTTTCTTATACTGTATGCAATAGGTCTACTATATTTGGTGTATGGAATGATTGTAAGGTGTTCATGTCTAGCTGACAGGTGTCATCTGACCTTGACCTCATTTTCATGGTTCAGTGGTCAAAGTTAAGTTTTTGAGTTTTGGTCTTATTTTTTAATACTATATGAAAAAGTTCAACTATATTTGGTGTATGGAAATATTATATGATCTATATGTCAGTCACGCAGGTTTTATTTGACCTTGACCTCATTTTCAAGGTTTTCAAGGTTCATTGCTTAGTGTTAAGTTTTTTGTGTTTTGGTCTGTTTTTCTTAAACTATAAGCAATAGGTCAACTATATTTGTTGTATGAAAGAATTGTTAGCTGTACATGCCTGCCTAGCATGGTTTATCTGACCTTGACCTCATTTTCATGGTTCATTGGTCAATGTTTAGTTTACTTGGTTAATGTTAAGTTTATGTGACAGTTGTAATAAAGCTTTATATTTAGGACTATCAACATAATATCAATGATTAGTAAAGAAGGCGAGACATTTCAGCGTGTGCACTCTTGTTTCTCCAGTGACAGTGTGGGGTATGTGAGCGCACTCACTAAGGTTCTTTAATTTAAGTAGTAAATGTAGAAGGTTAGCTTTAAATGGTGTGTCATATCTTATTAGTACAAATTAAAATCTTGAAACCTGACTTTATTTTACAGGAACCTGATGTGATGAGCCTTCTTGGTGATGATGCCTCAGATATGTCAATTATAACTAATACTACTACATGTTCAGAGAGTTCTAATGTGTCATATGGTCCTGCTGGTAGAACATCCAAAGGTATATATATACACTGCAGTAAATACATGTCTAGTCTATAAAGAAACTTTCACATACATTTTTCTTTGTTTTCTAATCGTGTACTTTAATTTTATGTCCTATATTTCTATAAGAACTTTTAACAAGTTTTTTAGGAGATTCTACCTTATTTACTTACTGGATCTTCAGAAATATTCATTCAATGACCTATGTTCTGAAAAAAGCATGATTAACAATAATATTGTTTCCTTCACAATAAAAGAATAAATTTATTTACCTGAAAAATTTTGAGTAATGGCATCTTTAACAATGCAGTTTTCTCTGTTTTAGATTCACTAAATAATGTATATTCCCTCCTGGAAAATTTTGTCTATATAAAGGTGTCAATAAAATAACGGTGCTGTTTTCTTTTTAAGATTCGTTAGATGAAGTATTTTCTGACCTAGAGAACCGTGTTCGTGAGGAAGCAGCAGTAAATGTAGAAGACCAAGGTCTTATGAAATTCTCAGTTTGGGTCAGTTTTGCTGAAATTTATAATGAACAGATATTTGATTTGTTGGAACCAATACCTAAGAAGAAAACCACACGAAGGCCTGTTCTACGACTGAGTGACGATAGAAATGGTAGTCCATATATTAGAGGTAAGAAGAGTTACAAATCTTTATTCATAAAATTAGTACCTTTACATCGCTGTTCACATATTATATACAAAAAAATATTCGTTGTTAAACATGTTTAAAAAGGAATTTCCTTTCAAAAATAAACATTCCTATTCAAAGTAAATCAAAATTTTCATCATAGGTATTCGTACAATGCATTGTTTTCGACTTACCACTTTTAAATTACTTGTCTATGCTAAAAACTAACTACCTTCATGTGTATATAAATGTTCATTTAGTGTAATTGATAACAAACAAGCAACAAAGTAGCAAATAAACAGGAATTGAATTGTCCATAACCTGTGAAAACATTGCAAAATCAGCCTAAACGTCTTTCAACGTAGCTTTCAGAATTGGCGAAAATGTTTTCCCTTCAATTCAAATGAATAAAGTCTATTCGGAAATATCTCTTTTTCCAGTACGGTGGCCCTATGTTTTTATTTCTTTATTTTGTTTAATAACAAACTGCATGTTCTATTGAATTTTCATCAAGAAAACAATTGGTCAATTTTTTTTAACTTGATTTTTTTATGGAAATTTCACCATCAAAAAGACAGGAAAATTATTATAGCAACTCATCATTATCATTTGTCCCTCAGAAGATGATAATATCAATAATGTAATCTCTAGTAACAACAAGGTTAACAAAACAAACAACTTTTATGTGATACAGAATTTTTATAAGATATTACACTGCTAATAACTACAAGTCCTGATTTCCAAATTCCACGAAACAGAGGTTGTTTGAAATCGAAAAAAAAAGGTTGTGACCCCATTTTTTTCTTGGCTAATTTTAAAGCTTTAACCTAGCCTAAACTGAAAATAAAATTTTAAAGAAGATATTATTGGTAAATCTGAATAATAGAAGGATTTGTCTTTGTAGCAAGCAGCAATCAATCCATTAATTTTTATGTATACATAAAACTTGCAACAATTGAAAAATATCTAAAATTACCACATGAACAAACAAACAAAATTGACATATATAATATATATATTAAAATAAGGAGATGAGGTATGATTGCCAATGAGACAACTATCCACCAAAGTTCAAATAAAGTAGATATACTTGTTTTCAGAGAAGACAACAGTGTAAATCAATTACAATTTGTCAATTGATGCATGAACCAAATTGAACAAGTGCAAGCCTAAATGAACATTTTTATTATACCCCCGCTTTAAAAACGTGGGGTATACTGTTTTACCTCTGTCAGTTTGTCCGTCCCGTGAATATTTTTCGTCACATCTTTCTCAGGAACTACATTACAAGGATTTCTGAAATTTGGTTTCAGGGTTTATATGAGTCAGCTATAATGTGTGATGTGTTTTCAGATTCATCACTCAACAACTTCCTGTTTACCTTATGCTTTTAGCGGGCGGGGGTATCATTAGTGAGCAGTAACTCACAGATTCACTTGTCATTTCTATTTTTATGCATTAACCATGTATTTTACAAGTTATAATCAATGCTGTTTTAGGTTTAAAAGAGATCCATGTAACATCAGCTGATGAAGCTTACAACTTACTAACTGTGGGACAGAAAAATCTACGTACAGCAGTTACTAAACTAAATCATCAGTCATCAAGAAGGTTTGCAACTACAATAACTTTTAAATTGTATGCACTGATATAAAAAATAATTAATATCAGTCTAGTAATTTATATTTCCTGGTTAAAATGCAACTAACTGTCTTTATCTTGGTATTGTTTTATTTTGGCAAACTGTTAGAAATTTAGTAGTATTTGTTTGAAATTGTTGTCTTTCAAACATCATTTTAAATACACAGTGACACACATTATAAGAGTTTTATGCAATTTATGATTTTCACAGTCCAATTTGAAGATTTTAGAGTATCTTTCATTTACGTATACATAGCTGTCTTACATCACTTAAAATTCATATAAAATAAAAATGAAAACCACAAGAATTTTGTCTTTTTAACTTTTTCGCAGTCTTTGGCTGTTTTAGTGAGCATTGTACATGAATAAAATCATAACCTTAAATGTGAAATTTCGAGTTTTTTATGTCAATATTACCAATATTTCATGAGAAAGAAGCATACAAGTTTACAGTAGCACAACATGACTACATAGAAATTTGATAAGATATACATGTATAGCTTTAAATACGTTATCAAAGGGCATTATTTTTACCACCCATTTTGTCTTTCACTCTGCAATCAATGACCAGATTATTTTGTTGATGGAAATTACATTTAACCTGCTTCGAACATAAATGTAACAAAAGTGCCAGTATTTTTATATAGTGTTTTTCATGTCAGGTTCAGTAGTTGGATATTGTAAAGCATTTTATGAATTGTATATAAAATGTGAGCTTCATTTATATTTCAGTCATTGTATTTTTAACATCAAGATTTTACGAGTAGTTGACAAAGGAAATCCAAACCATGCACGTGTCAGCATGTAAGTACTTAAAAGTTATTCTTTGGTTGAATAAAGAAAATATTCCATGTACTTTAACATCTGAATAAGTTGGAATACTAATGATAAAGATTTTAGAATTTTTTTTAAATCTTCATATTTTAATCCCAGCCAGAGAATTTTTGAAACTCGTAATATAAATGTCATTGCACAATTGATGACTTATGCAAAACATGAAATATAGAAGGGGAAACTAATGAAAATTTAACAACAAAATGATCCTGAATATTGCTAGAAACAAAAATTAACAAAAATGTAAAATCTTACATCAGTTATGTTTATAGGTTTTTGACACGAAGTATAGTTCATACATCAGAATAATATTTTGTTTAATTTGTTCCAACAATTATACTAGCTTTGTTTGCAAATTGGAAATACACTATGACTGTTTCCTCAGGAAAAAAATATTTTGGTAGAATATTTGTCAATCTATTTAACTAACTTTGATTTATATTTTAATCTCGAAAGCTATTTTTGTTTGTGCATATTCACATTCTAAATCTAATATATCTGATGAAAGTAAATATTAGATAAAATTGGAAATGAAAACAAATATATTTGGAGTGACTATAATCCTCAATAGATAAAACCTTATTGGCACTAATTAAGTTTAGCTGGATGTAATTTAATGTAGCTGTTAACAAAGATGTCTGTAGCTCTCTCTTGAATTTAGAATTACTGTGTTAAGTCCAATGATGATTTTTTCCTTGCTCACAGATAGCTGTCTCTGGTCAGCATGTAGATAAAACCGGCCCCTAATTTAAACCATGTGAGGTTCAGCTTGGGGCTGAGGACTTTTTATTTTGAGTCTTCCGTAAACCAAATGATGCCTTTAAATATACAACAACAATCATACTAGCTTTGTTTACAGAATGTATAAATCATTATGACTGATTCATCCTGAAGCTATATGTGTCTGTCTACTTAAAAAAAAAAAATTTCCCTACAAACTCTTATATTTTAATCTCGATGGATTATTTTGTTGGTTCATATTCACATACAATTTTAAATCTGAATTTAAACAACATTTTTAGCAAATTATAGTATCAGTGACATTTTGCCAGCGAATCATGGCAAAAACGATTGTGATAACTTCGTATTCAGTTATGGACATCAAGGATATATGACTCAGTTATCTGACAACACCTGTTTCTAGGTTCTTATTAAACATGTTAAATGTAAGGTAAAAATTGGAAATGAAAAAAAAATCTGGAGTAATTAGTGATGAGTAGAAAATCCTAAAAAAATATTAAAACCTTAATTGCATTTAATTATTTAATTAAGCTGGATGTAGTTTTAAAAAGCTGTTAACCAAGAGGTTGTTTGGAGGTCTATTGATTGAAGATTTACTATGTTATAACACGTATCAGTCCAATGATGATTTTATCCTTGCTCACAGATAGCTGTCTCTTGTCAGCATGTAGATAAAACTGGCTCCCTGAGTTAAACCATGTGAGGTTAAGCTTAGGGCTGAGGACTTATTCTTTTAATAAGCATAGAATATAATATGATTTTTGATATTTGTGACTAAGAAAGTATGTATTGATATTTGTGACTAAGAAAGTCTGTATTGATATTTGTGATGAAGAAAGTCTATATTTATATTGTGACTAAGAAAGTATATATACATGTATTTATATTTGTGACTAAGAAAGTTTATATTTATATTTGTGACTAAGAAAGTCTATATTGATATTTGTGACTAAGAAAATGTATATTGATATTTGTACAGGTTGTCCCTTTGTGATCTGGCTGGTTCAGAACGACACTCTAAAACTCAGAGTAAAGGTGATCGACTGAAGGAAGCAGGTAATATAAATACCTCATTGATGACACTTGGACGATGTATTGAAGCACTACGGAATAATCAGCATCACAAGTAAGTACAGATGAGTATGTCTTTATTTCACATTTATATCTTAAATTGATGTTGATATAGTTGTAAGAACTTTAAATAAGTGCAAGAATACGAACAAATTTAATAAACTAAACACCAACAGGAAGACATTTTTTTTTGTACTTGAAAGGCATGTTTAATGTTCCATTTGCTTCCTAGTCTTGATAAAAAAAACATCATTGTGATGTTCTTCACATGCATTGCAGCAATACAATATGTAATCCTCGTTTTTCAGTAAGTAATTATAGGTGTGGTATCTCAGTAATAACTTGTATGATAAACGATGACATTGGTTATAATTCAGTAAGACAAATTAACCACACATAAAATTACATATGATTGGTACTTTAAGACAGAGGTATCAACATTTCACAAACAGTCTAGATTCTTTTTTTGAGTCAGTAGAACAACACAGATTAAAAAAAACCACCTTGTGTTTAAAGATTGAAACCAAAGAAATTGTGGCTGTTTCATTAAAATGTACATTCATATGGTACTCTGTTAAAGCTTTAAATATGGTATAACACACTATAGACATGATTTTCAGGAAAAAAATCAACAATGAAATAATTAATAATGTTTTGTATTATAAAGTAAAATTTAACACACTGTTTATAGAGATAAAACCCAGCTGATACCATTTAGGGACAGCAAGTTGACAAGATTGTTCCAGAATTTTTTCTCTGGCAGAGGAAAAGCCGCCATGATTGTCAATGTGAACCAATGTGCCAGTATGTTTGATGAAACTTTACATGTCTTCAAATTTTCTGCTGTAGCAAAACAGGTAGGGCTATACTAAACAATTATTTAGTGGTTGTTGCTTACACTTACTAAAGATAAATCACTTAACTGGCCAACTTTTATCTTACAATAAAGTTGCATTGACAATATAGCAACACCACTATTGTTCATATGTCACCTTTTTTAATTTTATACAAAAAACACACTTTAGAGACACAGCAATCGATTTTTCATGACACATTTGTGAAATGGATGAAAGGCTATAAGAGAAGATGTTGGTAAAGGTTAACGAGACAGCAACCCAACAACACCTATAATCAAAACACATCTATGATCTATGAAAAAATCATGTAAAGACAAATTAAAAGAACTTTATTATAGTTGTGTTCAGCCCAGAAGGTCAAGAGGGTTAATTTATATAGTCCTCCTCAGAATTAAATAGATGTAGGATTATTATACTGTATATATTGTCAAACCTGTTAAATATGTACACACAAAATGTTGTCAAATAAATACTTATATCTTCATTGTGTGATTGTAGGTTGTGGTTGTTCAGAAACCAGAACCACCGCCAAAGAAGAGACTGAAATCTGCACCTCCTCCTAAAGTCCCCAGACCATCAATTCCATGGGCTACACCAGGTGTGTTTTAGTATTAACCAGGATCACAGGTTTACTACAGTGTTAACCAGAAATTGATAATAATATTACATATATTAACCAAATAACAGCTTATTTCAAGAGTTGGACAGTTATCATTCCAAAAATTTCAACTTTTCCCATTAACTTGCTGACATGCTTACATCGCAGATGTAAGCAGCATTATTATGGATGATTTTAATCAATTATTTAAGTCGTTTCATTTATTTTGCCTTTTTATTTATAACTCTCCTCTGAAGTTGAGGGGTATACTGCTTTGCCTCTGTCCATCTCTCCTATGCAATTTTAGTCCCATTTATGACAAAACTACAAATCAGAGGTTCCTGAAATTTGGGATCAAGCTTCATGTGAGCATGCGTTAAAGTGTGTGAGGCATGTTCATCACTCTTCATTCCTGTTTATAGAATACTTATACTTGTAGTAAAGGAGGGTATAGCTCTCTTTTTCAGAAGTCGGGGGATTTGGTAAGAGCTGGTAAAAAATGACACTTTTAAATGAGAGTGGATGTGCTTTCAGATAAATTGCAATGATTATCAGATAACTTTTATTTCAAGACACAATCATCCATTTAATGAAATTATAAAAATCACAAGTATTTCTTTATTTGTAAAATTCTTTGGTCACACAGATTTGTTAAAATGAAGAGCTTGTGATTTTTCAGGTGCAGCTGACATGTCACTGATGAACTCTGCCCTGAAACGTGGACAGCAGATTCCATTGCCTGAGGATGATTTTGATGATGATATGGACTCGGATTCTATGGATGATTCTGAATCGGCTGTAATTATGATAATTTTAGATATAGAATGTTTTAAACTCATGATTAGAAAGGCCAGATGTTACATGTCAGGGTTAAATGAATGACTTCAATATTTTTACTGTTTAAAATTATCAATGAAATGTCTATGCTTTTATTGGAATTGCATAGATTTACCATTTATTTCTACTATTTTAAGGTATCACAACAGTGTAATTTAGAAAATTGGGGTTTGGTTGTATGTGAATAGCTATATCTTTGTCATTTTAAAAGATATTAACTTATAATTAAGACAAATGAAGTACTGTGGATTCATTATTATTCTAACTTATCATTAAGACAAATGAAGTACTGTGGATTCATTATTATTCGTGGGATACCAGTTTTTCATGGGTATAGGTTGAACCACGAATTTTTAACATGTTCAAGTACATATGTTCTATAGGCTTGTATGCAGAATTTTGTAAAACCACGAAATCAAATATCCACCGAAAATACTATTTTTTCTTGATCCAAAGAAATTGGTACCCACGAACAAATAAATGAACCCACAGTAACATTTTAAGTAGAAACATTTCCACAGAGCTGGTAAAACCACCATTACTTGACAAAGTCTTAATGATCATAAATAAAAGAATTTTTTTTTACTATTACACCATTCTTATTCTAAAATTAGCAATGCCAGCTTAGAAGATACTAAATGCATGTTTATTTCATCATATAGTACATAAAAAATGTCACAAAACCATATGTTGTTCTTCATGAAAAAATTATGAAACTTTTTTATTTTATAGGAACTAGTACGAATCATTGATAGTTTGCGTGAGAAACTAAAAGATGAAAAACGTGTTAAATTGTTGATGGAACGAGACATCAGGGAAGAAGTGTGTAAAGAAATGATGGAACAGATTGTTAAAATAGAGAACGATTATGAGTGAGTAGTATAAAGGGAAAAAGTGTTTGCTTAATGTCTACAGTTCAATTAATGGGGAGGTCGTCTCCACAGAATTATTTCCGTGATTGATGTTAGGTTTTCAGTCATTTTTATAATCCTTGGAAAGTAGCTGCAGTCGCTATTAGTAGGTTTATGTTAAGTAGTTAGATCTGCATGTTTTACAAAGTGGGTAAACTGGGTTGAATGATGGGGAAACTGAAGACTTCCTCTGGACAGAAAGGGTATGTTTGATGGGGACAAATTTGCTTTGGAACAGAACAAACCCTCAAAGAATTGTAAGATTTCTTCTTGCAGAAAGTCTGACAGTCTCCCATTATGAGGCATTTGATTTAAAGTCGTCACTTTAACCAGATGTGGCTATGTATTTAATCAGCCAATCAGATGCCCATCTTAAACATGGGTTTAACTTTGAGAAGCAAAGAATCCCTTGCTACATCACAGTCATATTTAAATTATATCACATTGGAAAGTTGATAATATCTTTAAAAATAGATTGGTTAACAGACTTTTATCATGTAAAATACAATATAAACACGTTTTCTATTTCAAACTGGTAAGAATGATGTTAAATTTCGTTGTTACAGAGAACAGTTACGGGAACGTGAAATTTTAGCTGAAGAGATGATGGAGAAGCGAATAAAAATTTTAACTAATTCAATAAATCCACGGAAAAGACCAAGACAAGAGGTCATGGAAGATGAAGATGATGAGTGGGTGTCAAGTATATTATTACACCAGGAGAAGGTCAAAGTTCAGGTTTGTATCCAAGGATAAACTTCTGTCTCTTAAACAAAAAAAAAGGTGTTATTTCCCAATAACTATAAAATCAGAAACAGTCATTTAACCATTGTTATGGTATCTTTACAAATATGAAAGAAGACGCCCCTCCAAGCAGACAGAAAAAAATGCTGCATACAAATGAAAATTTTAAGATCACTGATTACAATACATTTCATTGTTGTCTGTACACATGGTAGATAACAATTTAGCCTACTATAAATTGTGTAGAAAAGTCACAGTAGATCAGACTAGAAGTCTTATTTGTTATCCTGACAGGGATCATCATGCTACAACTTGCAAAAGCTGAATTTTAAAGTCACAGTAGATCAGACTAGAAGTCACAGTTGTAATCCTGACAGGGGTCATCATGCTACAACTTGCAAAAGCTGAATTTTCCCAACTGTTAAATGTTGACTCAGTACATCTTGAATTATAATAACAAAAATTAGTGGAACTCTTTAGATGCCATTTTAATACTAATAAGTTGCTGTAAATTCAGAAATTATTGTGTGCATTTATCATTGCGATTTTGTCATTTTAGACTAAAATGCAATTTTAATTCTTGCGATATTGAGAAAAATCCTGTTTAATTCATATAAAATATTTCAAAATGCGAGTTTAAATTATTGCGATTATAACCCTGTCGCATTTTTCGCAATAATAAAAACATCGCAATAATTTCTGAATTTACAGTATATGTTTATTCTCTTATCTTCCAAAGTTAACAGGTTCTATAAATTGTTTAATACCGTATATCAGGTTTTTCTCATGTCTTTTTTTCACGATATGATAACAAAATGGGCAGGTTAAATTTTCACTATGTATAATTTTCACTGAATGGGAAAATACACGCGAAAAATAACTGTATTGCATTGTTAAAAATGTAAACTTGATTGACTGACAGGTAGTCGATTGCAAATAAGTATGAGTACGAAAATACACACAATTCAGTGAACTTTCAAGGAACATAAAATATGTACAGACATTGGGGCATGCTAAAAATTGAAGGTTTTGGTCATTACAGATAGACAAATATCCGTGTAAATGTGATTTATTTTTATTTTTTATTTTACATCAGATGAAAAATGTTCATGTTATGACACCAATCAATAGATAGTCGCTAATTAACATCTTTTAATCTGTCACTGATTGCTGTGTTGTCAAAAGGTGTGCCATGTATGATTAATCATTTTAATTACAATAGAAACAGAAATCTTAATTAAGCATACACTTTCTTGTGATCTACAGAACAACACAAAAGACTCGACAATCAACAATATAATATATGAAACTTTCAAACAATGATAAATCTGGGAATATGCAGTGAAATTTACGCTGGGTCAAATTTTCGCGTTTCTTTAGCTGCCACGAACAAAGCGAAAATTAGACACACGCGAAAAATACCCAATATACAGTAATTGAAATACAAGGTCTTTGATTTAACCATTCAAGAGTAGCAATTTCTTCGATTGTGTACTGCTTTTTCATGTAGAATGAATAAAATGAAGTGTGGGGTATGTGTCAATGAGACAGCAACCTGACGACACAAAAACCCAAAAGACATCTAAAAGTAAACAATTTTTATAAACAACAGACAGGTGTCTATACAAAGTGTCAACTTTTAAATCTTCTCAATCTAAAAAAAAGTTCTGCATTAATTAAACAGAAGCTATCAAAGATCTGTCTTCAATACCAAATTATCTTCTACAAATAACAAAAATGTTTTAACTGTAAAATGAACCAACACTGGAAGTGGTGATCGTGCTTATAACATAAGATACCACTGATGTAGAGTTCTCGAAAATTGCTGGACCAAAGGTTTTGACCACCAAATTTTGCAAAGGACCGACACAATTTTGGTATTTTGCAATAGAAATAATAGTGAGGACCAGCAGATTTATTCCAAGGACCACCTGTGAAAAAAGATTTCGAGAACTCTGCTGACGAGATTGATTTGATGTTGTTGTATTGGTGTATTACTCTTAAACAGATAACGATCTATTTATAGGAAAAGGATGAAGAACTTGAAGGATTGAAAAAAGAACTGGAAACCACAAAATCACAACTGAACATATACATTAAGGAACAGGAGAATTATATTGCTAAGAATACATCTTTACAGTTTAAATTAGCTGATACCGAGCAAGTACTTGAACAGGCCCAGAAAGACAAGGTACATGTATGATCTAATGGCAATCAGAAATTATATAAAGTTTGATTAATACAGTGCAGGAATATTATATGTGAGATAAAAACCTGCCATAACTGATTCATGTTTATTTGACAAAAAATGGACATTTAACGTTCATTTTTTGTCTCGCTTGCGACTTTCAAAAGTTGCAGTATGTGAGACATAGTTATTACTATCCGGAAGCGGCGTAATTTATTTGTATATAGCTTTATATTTCAGAAGGTAGAAGACCTTGCTGCTTCATATCTTGTATGCAGATACCTTATGTTACGAAGTTTCCGTCAATCATATGTCCATTTTCCTTGACCTCATTTTCATGGTTCAGCAACTGCTTTGTCATGTTAATTTCTCACTTATTATGAGTAATAGGATAACCATATTTGGTATATGGGTTCCTTGCAACGTCTACATGTCTGTCAGACAGAGTTCACCTGACCTCGACCTCATTTCATGGATCAATGATCAAGGTTAAAGTTACATGATTAAGTCCGTTTCTCAAATACTATAAGCAGTAGGTCAATTATGTTTGGTGTATGGAATGATTGTAATGGGTACATGTCAGTCTGGCAGGTTTCATCTGACCTTGACCTATATTTCATGGTTCATTGATTAATGTTAAGTTTTGTGTTTTTGTCTGTTTTTCTAGTACTATAAGCAATAGGTCAACTATATTTGGTGTATGAAATGATTGTAAGGTGTACATGTCTGCCTGGCAGGTATCATCTGACCTTGACCTCATTTTTATGATTCAATGGTCAATGTTAAGTTTTTGTGTTTTGGTCTGTTTTTCAATTAGCATACGCAATAGGTCAACTATATTTGGTGTATAAAAAAATTGTAAGGGCTGTTCCATAAAAACATACATGGGACCCAGGGAAGACATTTCCAAATCGCAACTATGGGTGGGTGTCATCTATGTTTTTGCATAGTGGAAATGTAAGTGAAATTTTAATTTGCTTCTATAGGTGGTTACCCCATTTTTAAAGTGCCTTCCCTGGGTACCATGTGTGTTTTAATGGAACAGCCCTAAGGTGTATATGTCTGTCTGACACGATTTATTTGACCTTGACCTTGTCATAGATCTTTAAAAATGTTTCTGTAATGCTTTTAGTAAAACCTTTATCTTTAAGATTTTCAACATAAAATCAATGGTCAGTAAAGCAGGCAAGACATTTCAGCGTGTACACTCTTGTTAATATAATCACATTAACAAAATGTTTACCCAAAAATATATTTCACATATGTTCACTTCTTTGAATAAACATCTCTTGCTGCAGCATTACCAATATGTGCTGACACTGTGTTAAACTGCCAACAATCAATCAATTGTATATCAAGATTGAACGGGCCAATTAAGTGGCCTTATATCTCCTTATAAAACATATCGTAAAAAATTAAATGTGTCTTCTGCAGTATGTACTACATGTTTATGAATTTTATGTTGTTTACCTATAGGAGGAAGCCAAGGAGGAGGTGAAGAAAGTCAACAACAAAATGGATGAACTTGTAACTAATACTGTAGAAAAGGTAATCCTTAAACCTCTTCTCCAAAGGAAAGGGGTTATACTGGTTCTATCCATGTTTCTGTCTCTCGTAAGATTTTAGTGGCATTCTTCTTGGGAACTAATAATCAGAGTTCCCTGAAATTTGGTATCAAGCTTCATGTTTGCGTGCTTTACTGTGTGTGGCATTTTTACATCAACTTCCCATCAGCTTCCTGTTTACAGGTTACTTGTATGGGGTTGGTGCAGGGGTATAATTAGTGTACAAGAGCCAACAGTTAAACGTCTTATTCCTAGTATGTAAAATAGACCAATCAGTTTACTTCTGAATGACTACTTGTACTTGAAGACCACATGTGGCACCAGTAAAGGTTTAATAGTGAACATAAGTAAGAGCTGTGAAGCAACTGAAACTTTGTACATTTGCATTTAACGATATAACCAGTCTTCACAATAGACTTTTTAATCTGAAGGCCCGACAAAAATTTTACAAGCCTGGGCTGATGAGCCTGTGGATGAGTGCGAAGATTGTATAACTTGAACATGTGCTAAATTTTAAGTCTACAGCCATAAAATTTGGGATTCAATGACATTTTGCTAAGTCTGCAGGTGCCCTTGAATGATGTCACATGACCAATATTTCTCTCTTTGTTCATGTTAATAAATTCAGCATTGATTTAAATGCTATTTGATCAACAATAGTAAGCATGGTATAATGATGCATCAGCCTCTTGTGTGTGTCACTCTGACCTAACTTTCAAGTTTTCATTTACATCGGTTAAGTTTATTTCTCAAGTACCAAGTGCCTATCAATTATGTTAATTGGTATATATTAATAAATTCAGGTGTGGTTTCCACTGGCGGTCAACTGTTTCACATTTTTCGAAAACAATAAAATTGTGGCGATTAAAATTCATTATTGGCGAGAGAAGTATAACGATTCGACTTCGTCCCTCTTGTTTATTTTTTTTCCAATTTCTTTGACGTTTTCCCTAATCCGACAATACTCGGATTTTCACCTTGAACTAGTCACGCATTACGATTTTGACAGAAATAATCAATAATCAGCTGATTGCATTTGATAACAACAATAAAATAATTAGTAAAGGAGCTTATTGCATTGTTTAATGAAATTGTGTGGTTTAATGGTGTCACATGTCACCTAAAGAGTAGTTTTTACAACTTTAATTGAACTAATTATTTTGAAGTGGGTACTCACAAAAGTTTTATCAGCACACGTGTTTGAAGCATAGTTTTAGGTTTCAACTTTTACTTTTAACGTTGGTCTGGAAAAGAAATCTTGTTTTGAAGAAAAACGTTCAAAAGTAAGAAAAATCTCTGACTTTAGTCTTTGTCCTTCAACTAAACAGGAAGTATTCGATAAACTTTAATATTGAAGAAGTCAAATATGATGATTTCATGATTTATATTGCAATTTTACAGTACATTTAAAAAATACTGAAAATCAGAAATGTTCGTTATTACTGAATGTTTATTTATTACAATGTAGATTATTAAATAGACATGTAGAACAATAATAAATGAGACAACAATGCTGCAAACTGATTTTTTTTGTTTTTTTGTTAGCAAGTAGACAAATTTCAAAAAAAATATATGTTTCTGTTAGTCGGCAAAAAAAATATTGTTTTGGCAAAAAAGAATATAAACGCAGGTTAAACCCTGTATAACAGTGCCTACAAATGAATGTAATCTTTTTTACAATCATATTAGTTTTAATGTATTAAAATGAAATGTGCTGGTAAATGTTAATGAGACGACAACTTAACAACACATAAAAATAGTAAAGACATATTATTTTTAGTATTAAGAGAGTACCAGTCTTTAACCTATTGTATCCAAATTGCAGAGTTAATATAATAACTGTATTAGATTATCTATGTATAAAGATAGAACATTGTGCTATGATTGGTCACTTTGTTTTCCTTCATATTGCTGTGATTGTGACAATTTATTGCTACATTTACATCGTTTTGAACATAGTTATAAAGAATGTTGCCTATTTTACAGAGAAAGAGTGATATTGATTTAGGAGATACTTGTTTGTTGGAAACCTTGTCACAACAGTTACAGCAGGCCAAGGATCAGATTAAAGAACAGGTAATTAGGCTGATCAAACATGGTATCTTGACTGTTCACAGATATTATTTAAAGAAAATATCAGAATTTGAGAAGTATTATATTTCAAGATCAAGCTGATGCTACTGATTTTGTTCAGTGAAATCTTAGTTATTCAGACAAAATGTTAGAACTAAACTTACACATAATGCTGAACACGTATTAAATGCCAATGGATAAAAAGTGATATGGAATATATGTCAAAGGAACAGCAACCAATAGACATCTAGAGGGCATCATAAAGGCTTAAACAAAAGACAGTTTATATTGAGCTATAAAACTTCTAGAATTTAAAAGAGCTTTGGTTAAATTTATCAAACTATAAAGGATCTGCAGTCAAGACCAAATACTGTGGGTTCATTTATTTTCGTGGGTATCAATTTTCGTGGATTGCTGAAAACTTGCATATTCGAGGATATTTGATTTCGTGGTTTTGCCAATATATGTATACATAGCCTATTGAAAATATGTTTTTCGTTGAACATTAAAATTCGTGGTTCACCTGTACCCACGAAACCTACGAAAATTGGTATCCAATGAATAATAATAAATCCACAGTACTACAAACTACTAAGACAATTAAGATATGACATACAACACTGATGAGGTTCAATACAAGTTTATTAAATATCCTGCTGAGGATGGTCATGAACAATTTTGGTATTTTAGGACTTACAAATCAAGTGATAAGACAATCCTTAAGGGCTGTTACACAAAACACATACTTTGGACCCATGGAAGATAGTTCAAAATCTCAACTGTGGTTGGGTGTCAAAATTTCTTTTTGTACAGTAAAAGTGTAAGTGAAATTCTAAAATCATCTCTGTAGGTAATCATTTTCAAAGTGCCATACCTCTGTGCCATGTATGTTTTAATGGAACAGTCCTAAGCTAAGAAAGGTCATTTTGGAGTTTCTTTTTGTTGGAGACAGAGATTAAGGACTTTAATGCCGTTTTGTGAGACAGACCTCCCAACTTGTCCAATTAAGAGAGGATTTCCCCCTTTAGGTGTATTGATCTGACTCTTGAAATTCTTTGTTATATAAGCTGAATACTGTGGATTCATTATTATTCATGGGATACTAATCTTCGTGGATTTATTTGTAGTAGGTCTACAACAAATTTAAATGTTCAACAAAGTGCACATATCTTATAGGCTTGTAAGCAGACTTAGGCAAAACCTCTAAATCTAATATCCATGAAAATTGGTACCAACAAAAATAAATTAATATACAGTACTTCAAAAACACGGGTTCAAATGAGTCAAAAAGACATATCCATTCAAACCTTAGTGTAATACTAATAGATTTAAAACACATATCACAAATATGCATTATAATAGGTACTTCTGTGCTAAAGAAAAATCCCTTGTGAAGATTTTGAAAGTGGCAGGTATGTGAGACAGTCTGAGCTAAAAAGTTCATTAATACTTCTATTTGTAGGAGACAGAAATAAAAGAATTAAATGCTATGCTGACGGAAGCTGGAGAAACATTCCAACAGACGGATACAGAAATCAAACAGCTAAAGGAGGTCATTAATGATGATGAGGAGAAACTTAAACAACAGGTAAAGAATGGGATACAGTCTTCATATGGAGGCTGAACCCAGATCCCAAAATTTTTTTTCACATGAACAAAAAAAAAATTGCTTAGAAATAAAGTCTAAGTATAAGTTCTTCGTTACTTTGATTTTTGAAAGTAGGATTTTTGCATTCTCGCCAAAATGAAATACGTTTCCTGTTGAAAAAAATACATACTGGTGATTTCTTCATAAGAATTACAAGTGAGAATGGACTATGTGAAAAAGTTATCGTGTTATTTTTTCATTCATTTTTGAGAAAAGAGTGGTCTTTTCTCAGAACAAGAACTTTAATGTCATAGTACAAGATTCCTGTAAATTTGAATGATAGATCAGGATTTTTTTTGTAGTTAGCTGAAGAATATTTTGTGTTCATTTGTGTTAAATGATCCATGACTGTTTTGTGTCGTTCAATCCCCCTTTTTTTTTTAAACGTTCTTGACTTTGGGTACCATATTGGAAACATTAATGCAGTATGTGGGATGCCTTACTCTGTCGCATTTTGCTGAGCAGGAAAAAGTCTACAAAAGAGTTTTGATATCACAAACCCTGTTGCAATACCAAGTGGCATAAACAATAGGCTGTATGGTTTTAAAGTAATTCCCCTGACATTTACATGATTTATTATTTTTCCAGCAAATACTGATATCAGAGCTTCAGACAGCCCTGGAAGAAAGTACGAATGCTGTAACCAATGCTGAAGAAAGACTCATAAAGAAGGATGAACAGATCGTTAAAATGGAATCTGAAAACTCTGAGTTTGAAGGTATTGACAATATTCCTTCCTCCCAAGGTAATCTGTGTCCCCCACTGAGCATGCGTCATTCTAGTCAGGAATTCATAATCAACAGACCGTTACAAAACAGCAGTCGTGTGTTACAAGTGGTGCTGACTCCCCTGCAGAACAGACTGACTGCACATCATACTAAAACTAGCCTACTAAGGCTTAGAAACTCGCCTATAGCCGAATCTAGACGTAGTCGACAGATAATGAAAAAAACAGTCAACGACAGAATAGCTAAGGACAAAGAAAATGTAAAGTTGGTCAAACGTAAACTTGGTGATAGATCCCGTGATCGACTGAACACCAGTAAACGGAGACGAGTCAGTAACTCTGTCAAACAGAAGTTAGCTAGGTTGTCAGGGAAACATTCAGGTTTGAAATATAATCTGAGGACCAGACATTGAATGATTTTACTAAGCATGCTGTGTTTGATATGCAGTTAGATTTTACTAAAAGAGTCTTATTGCTGAAAAACAATAATGTCATTCAAGAAAATGAAATGTTTCTCATAGTTGTGTCTGACAAAATAATCTCAATAGGCATCAGCATAAAAAAAATTACAATTAATCTAATCTTTCAGTTAGTTGTATCGTTATTTGATAGGAAACACTATTTTACATTTAAAAGTAGTCATTTTACTGGAATTTTGTGATAATTTCATAGCTTTTTTCCTCCTATCCTACATCAAAGGAGGGAAACATCTGCTTCTGGATTCCAAACTGACCCTCTTATTTTACCCATGACTTAATTCATTTTTCTATTTTTTTTATAACCATAAAAAATGCCAGTCTGTTATTGGTCTTTCAAAACAGGTCTGGGCAAGAATTATGTGTGAAGAATTAAACATGACAAAGTTATGTTATGCAAATGACTAATATTTATGGTAACAATGACAAAATTCAATGACTGAATATCATCTTTATTTGTTTTTGGATGCACAAGACTCTTTTCATTATTGCATGTTTTCATTTATGTTAGCTGCTGTTTATAAGATGATCAGTCAGCTTTTGTTATTTTATTTTTATGTTTTTATTTTTGAATTTTATTTTATCATTTATTTATTATTTTAACCCTCACATTTGTTTAGAGTAAGGACATGAAGATATCATGTATATATAATATGGGGGATATTTTTTTAAATGTAAACACCCATCTATGCACAGCTCATGTTCTAGTTTGACATTGACCACAGATAAAATATACCTATTTATAGTTTTATATTATTTCTTGTTTGTTTTCCATACAAATTCATCAGCCATTAATCAACAGACAAAAAAAAATAACCTTCACCGACTAGATTTGTAAAATGCAAACTCTCACCTCATGATACTAAAATTACATATTTTTGAAAAACATAGGGTCCTCTAAATTCCATTATCATGATTTTTTTAGTTACATTATAAATAAAGATATTCTTTGATGAATAAAAAATCCTGAAAAACTCTGGTAATTTTTGTGTAAAATATTATATTATATCTAAAGAAAAAAGGGGAACTATTCTTATTCTTGATATTTTACATAATAAGTGTAAAAAATGGTTGCTATGTAGTGATGTCCAGTATAACTGTCTGCCTAAAATTATTGACCTCCCCCCCCTCTTCCCAGTTCAAAGATCCTTTGACAAGTAAAAAAATTTATAATTCTGTTCAAAGATTGTCAAAGACAATCTAAGCAAATGTATATGACATCAACATTTCCATTCTTAAAATAATAACAGAATTTCATGAGTTATACATTTTTAGTCTCTTCCAACCCCTACCACTTTTACAAACTTTTCTTGAAAGCTTATTAGTATTTTCAATAATGTTATGTGGTAATATATTGCACCAATGTGTCTGCCAGGTGCTGAATTACTGTGATGATGTATATTTTCTCCAATAAAATTTTATACTCAACTATTTTACCTGTGTAGTTTTATATTTCTCCTTTATTACACTGCATTGCTGAGGTAGATTGTGTTTGGTTAACCATAGAATAACACCATTAGAGCTGTAGTGTACTGTATTCATAATACAATTTCTGTGTGTAAGTATTGCCTTTAGTCCCTTGGTGATCCTGGCAGACACATTGGCATGCTTCTCTCACTATGTATCTATAAACTTTCACCTGAATTTTTCTCATTTCAGGTGAGTCTGTTCAAGTTACTGATGTGCAGCCTAGCATGTCCATGTGTTTGTCAGGTTTGGCTTACAATTAATATACCGCCGGTACTAAATTCAGGGGGGTCTCTGAAAGTTGTTTGAACACCAACAAACACTAAAATCAGAAATCATCTAAAAGTGGAGGCTACATTGCAATCACCATGTCTGTCCAACAACTATTTTTGTCGCACTTTTCTCAGAAACTACTAAACAGAATGACTTCGTATTGGGTCAGCAGCTTGACAATGATGAGTTGTTTAATACGTGTTAGCACTTTTTCGATCTGTCAGAAAACTACTTCCTGTTCACAAATATTTTTAATTTTTTTATATATGTTGAATGAACTGTCAAACAGTTGGACAGCAGAAGATTATGCCGACAAACTTATTCACTTCAAAAACAAGCAATACCAATTATCATATTAACAACACTTAAAAAACCTTCATCAGGTATACTGTAGACCAAATCCAAAAATAGAAAACATTTCAGAGTATGAAAAAGGCCTGCATTGCTTTGCTTGAGTGAGTGGCAGTTTTAAGTATAATAACATTATTTAAGATGAAGCACTTGCTATTGGGTGGATGGTTCCCTCAGGGACAGAGTCCACAATTAGAGGAAAGGCTATCCACTAGAGTTCAAATGAAGTAGATGCAACAATTATAGGCAAGGCCTTTAACAATAAGAAAACCCATACCGTATAGTCGACTGTAAAAGACTCCAACATGAAACAATTCAAACGAGAAAACCAAGAGCCAAATTTATAACAAAATAATTTACGAAAAACAAATATGACAGATATAAACCAACGACAACCACTGAACTGCAGGCTACTGACTTGGGACAGGGACATAAAGAATGTGGCAGGTTTAAACATGTTTGTGAGTGATCAAACCTCCCCTAACCTGGGATAGTGGTGTAACAGTACAACATAAGAACAAACTATAAAAATCAGTTGAAAAGGGCTTAGATCATCAAATTGATACAAAGCATAAAAACACAGACCGGACACGGCAAGGTATTTATATATCCCCAAAAAAACAAAAAAGACAGACACAATACAGATCTGAAAGTACTCGTAGTTACTGACAGCTAGTTCAAAGCCAATAACTATTAAAAAAATCATGTATCAAAGACTAAACATCAATCAGTACACATCTAACACCTAATGGATCTAATGTAAAGACGTCATTAACAGAGAAAAACATGACCTTGTGCATTGCCAAAATATAGGTATCAACAGATTGAAGCATCAGGAATGGACACAACCATGATATCCAGTAGGGCCCCAAATTTATTACCAATAAAATGATCTTTAATAAGAATTGATTATTGTGTAGTGAAAAGTATTGGATATACAGTCATGTAATGATTGTAACTTCAAAAGTAAGATTTTAAGATTGCAAAATAATACAAAGTATTTTCACTCACATTTGCAAAGAAATATTATGGAGCACAACTCTTGCAAATAAAACTGGAGTTACATAGGAAAATTATTTGTTAATTATTTTCTTGTTGGTATAAAACTGTTAAGGGCAGCACTAGGTCTGTAAATTGAGCATAAACAATGCATAAAAAGGATAACGGTACAAAGAACAAAGACAAATAATAATGGATTATCATTGTAAAATTATAACGTCCATACCTGATATCAAAATCATGATATTTGCTGTAAGATTTTTTAAAAAAAATACAATTTTTCTTCACTGGAAATTTATGAATCCATAGTAAATCTGTCAGCTGTGGTCTAACAGTTACATATGAAGAACAAATTTTGCAAAAAGTGTAATTTTGAAAGTACTTCTGTCAAAGAAATGCACCTAAGTAAAACTATTAGAAAGTTTGTTTTGACAACGAAAGAAGAAATTATCTAGTGAAACCAGGGTACAGGTCATACAATGAATGTTCTGTAATAAATCAATCCGTCAATTCAAAACAAAATCTCAACTGTGATTAGTTTAGACTGCTTTCACTGTATCCCTGTTTACCATAGGATTCTGATGTAGAAAAGACATGCTGGAATGTATTATCTAGATAATAAGGAGAAACAATTATAAAGGTGCAACTTTATTTTAAATAATTGTTAATTTTGTCTAAAAAATGAGGTGGGAGATACCGTCAGGACATTCAAAACTCATATTTCAATATAAATTGACAACGCCATGGCAAAAGAATGATGACAAAAGACCAACAGGTAAACAAAACACTATATAGAAAAAAAGACTGAGCAACAAGAACCCCACTGAAAATTGAGGAATGATCTAATCAATGATCAACAACATAAATAAAGCACCACCTCATTCCATACACAGTACTTTCATAATTTCTTGGGTATTTTTTTGCTACAAATTTGTAAACTCCGGAGAATTTTAAGCATAACCTTGAAATTAATCGACAGGTTTTTAGAGAAAATTTTTGTTTTAGTGGCCAAAATGAGGATTTCATACAAAAAGTCAAAAATCAAGTCTGGAAGGTAAAATTCAAATTGGTCATTAGGAAAAAAATTATCAAGAAAGTGAGCATCAAAGCCATTTTACTTATTTGCAAGTGTAAAGATATGTACAAGTTCAATTTTCACAATTTTAGTAAAAGATTTTGGTTTTTCGGGTTGAAAATGTTTTTTTTTTTGTTGAGAAGTAAAAACTGAAAACTATCTATAACTCGAGAAATATAGTGTCACTATTTTACAGGAACTCATTTTAATCACTTCTTAAAAAGTTTTATGCAAAGAAATGTTTACTTCAAAAATATTAATGGAGAGTGGGGTTCTTGTTGAGTATACACAAAATCAGATACCTTTCTGAAAGTTGGGGGTTGGGTGGCATGGTATGGAAGGAACTATTGGAGCACCCATTATGGCAATCTCAGCCAGTTCTCTGACAATTAAACACTATATTATTTGGTTCGCACATGCATCTTGGTGAGAATGATAAATGGAATTTTTATATTTCATATTTCATTGTTCAAGTTTCCTTTACTTTTATTATACCCCACGCAACGAGTTGCGGAGGGTATAATGTTTTTGACCCGTCCGTCCGTCCATCTGTCCTTCCATCTGTCTGTCTGTCCGTTCGTCAGTCCGTCAGTCCTGTTTCTTGTCATTGCAACTCCTCTCAAACCACACAACAGAATTTCACGAAACCTTTTTAGATAATAAGGACATACTATGTAGTTGTGCATATCGACAGGAAATTACGATTCAATTCTTTTTCTAGGAGTTACGCCCCTTTGAACTTATTTACTTTAACGTACTACTGCAATAGTTTGTCATCGCAACTCCTCTCAAACCACAAAACAGAATTTCATGAAACCTTTTCAGATAATAAGGACATACTACGTAGATGTGCATATCGACAGGAAATTACGATTCAATTTTTTTTTCCAGGAGTAACTCCCCTTTGAACTTATTTGCCCAATATACTACTGCAACCTTTTGTCATCGCAACTCCTCTCAAACCACACAACAGAATTTCATGAAACCTTTTCAGATAATAAGGACATACTACGTAGATGTGCATATCGACAGGAAATTACGATTCAATTTTTTTTCCAGGAGTTACGCCCCTTTGAACTTATTTGCCCAATATACTACTGTAACCTTTTGTCATCGCAACTCCTCTCAAACCACACAACAGAATTTCATGAAACCTTTTCAGATAATAAGGACATACTATGTAGATATGCATATCGACAGGAAATTACGATTCAATTTTTTTTCCAGGAGTTATGCCCCTTTGAACTTATTTGCCCAATATACTAGTGCAACCTTTTGTCATCGCAACTCCTCTCAAACCACACAACAGAATTTCATGAAACTGTGTAGATAATAAGGACATACTATAGATTTTTTTTGATACAATTTTTTTTTCTTACACTTATTTTATTTCTCCAATGACAATGTGGGGACATGGGGTATGTGACCTAGCTCACTAAGGTTCTTTCATTACCATATGTTTTATTTCCAGTTTCATTTCTCATATTTTATGGCAAAGTATGCATAATTGGATGGTATTTTGGATATTTATGAAATTTTGTATGATTTAGAACTTCTTGAACTGCACCTGAATATCGGAAAAATGTTATTTGAAGCATTTATACATCCAGAGGTACTATCAATTTAAATTTATAAATGTATAAAATATATATGCAAAAAGAACAGGGGGATGTTTTTTTTTCACTTTACATTGCAATTTCTTGAAAATCCGTCCACAAAATTTTGTTTGAAATATTATTTTATTTATTTGCTATGCACATTTTAATTTTGGCACTAATAGACCTATCCTTTGTAAAGTCATCAAACCACAAGCAGGTATCACCTATTCCTTCACTTCAGTGGCGATTTATCATTTTTATGCAAACAGTTGTTGGAATAAAACAGGCTTTATATGAGTTTATATTTTATTGGTTATTTGAATTTCATAGAGAAGTTGAAAAGCCAGAAGAATTGTTGTTTATTCCTGGAAGAAACTTTAAAGCAGAAAGATGAAGAAATTACTGGATGGAAGAATAAGTTTGCTAGAGAAGAAGATGAAAGTTTTAAAAGAGAACATGCACTCATTAACGGTTACAAGGCAGAAATTAATAATCTTAAAACACAGGTGAATTAAAAGATTATAGTACAATTATAATCACAAAAAGAATTGATCAAACTTAAATTTGTGTGTTCTGACAGTACACTCAAATACCTATGCTGTAATTTTCAGACGTTTATGTTGAAATCTGAAATTTTCTCAAAATTTTGAACCAAAACCAAGTGCAAGAACTGACTAGGTATCTGGAGAAAAAACAGTTTGAACTTATGCTTTCAATGATGTAATGGGCATGTACTTTTAAATTAAAAAACAAACATGCTATACACATATACTGTTGAAATAAACACCAGAACAAGATGCAAGGAAAAAGTTAATGTATGTGAATGATTGAAATCAAGCAGTAAAGCACATGCACATACATATTTTATCTTAAAAAGTGATGATCTCTATTTAGCTAACATTCATCTAGAAAGGGGCCATTAGAAGGATTTTTTTTTTGGCTAACTGGAAATCAAAAAAGCAAATAAAAATTGGAATTATTGTGAAAGAAATGAAAGTTTTCTACATAATCATTTGTAGTTTACCTGTTGATTTAAATGTTTGTTAATTCACTTGTCCCATTGAATAAATACAATAGCTATTATTATACTTCACGTCAAAATGCCAGATTTTGATTGGTTAATACAAGGGAGACAATTTACTCTATCCCATGGCAAATACTCTATTACCCTTCACAGAATCGCTTGCTCAAGTTTGTGCTTTAATAAATATGGATGATTGTTATGTACAAGACGACATAGTAAATTACTTTGAATTTGAAATTTAATAGACAGTAATAACAGAACAATCAGTATAATAAATTAAACAACACATATCTGAGAGGGTGATAGAGCAGATTGTTACCCCTCAAAAAGACATTGTCAACCTTGGCTTCGCCTCAGTTGACAATGTTTTCTAGGGGTAACAATCTGCTCTATCACCCTCTCAGCTATGTGTTATTTATATATTGTTCTCGGTGGAGTTTATTCACTGGGACCTTTAAATTTCTTCTAAGAGAAATCTCACTCATTGATTAATTTACCTGAAGAAAAAAATTATCTTCTAAGGAGATGAAATTACATGTATTAACTCACAAAACTTCATGTGATGTTGTATTTATTCAACATGAATTATATATTTTTGGCAAAATTTCAGTATTGTTCTTATTGAAAAATTTTGTTTTCATGTGTTTGACAAATGAAAACTGGAAAATGACAATGTTTAAAAAATTTAGGCATTCCTAAATTTATTTTATGAGTACATAAACACAAAAATTAATTTCAATAGGAGCAATGCTGAAAATATTGTCTGTGGAAAACTTTCATTTCTTTCACAACAAAACTATTAATTCAAAGTCTTATCTAAATTGTATAAATTTTTGCTTGAGTTGGAAAAGATTACCATACTTCTCTTTTCTCTAAACTTACTTTGCTATAGCTCTGTATTGCAAATTTTGGCAAGAGGTTAAGATAGTCATTAAAAAATATGCTACTGTAAATTTCATTATTCTCTCTAAGATGGATCAGAAATTTGGGACAAGAAAAACACAGTTTTGGCCCTAAAAATCACGAAACTATAATATCCTTGAAAATAAACAATATATCTAAGTAGTTTGGTTATATCTTGTCAATAGACCTACTGGGTAAATTGAAATAAAATGTTTAAGAATAGAAAATATTTTAATACCAGTAACAATAATATTTGTAACAACTTAGGGCTATTCCATAAAAACATACATGGGACTCAGGGAAGGCACTTTCAAATCTTAACTATGGGTGGGTGTCATCTATGTTTTAGCATAGTGTAAATTTTAGTGTATTTTACTTTGCTGCTATAGGTAGGTGGTTACCCCATTTTTAAAGTGCCTTCCCTGGGTACTATGTATGTGTTTAATGGAACAGCCCTTAGATAGAAGAATTATATGTAATGAAATGATGATTTTACAGATTCACCAGTTAAAAGCAGAACGTAAGATGATGAGTCCAATGAAGAACTCACCTTCAATGAAATGTAAGGAGATTCTTTCTCCATCTAAATGTTTGAAAGAAACAGAATCTCCTAGAAAAACAAGGGTAGATTCACCTGTTAGGAAACTGAGAAGTAATGCTCATAATTGTGGAAGTGAAGAGAAAAACCACCACTTCAAGGAAAACTTGTCTCGTCAAATCAAAGACTTGCAGGCAGAATTCATGAAGAACTCCTCTGTAACTGCCAAGTTGGAATCTGCATTACATATAGCCAGACTTACATCAGAGGACCTAGAATCCCGTCTTGAAGCTGAACAAAAACATAAACTAGAAGCCTTTAATAAATTGGAGGAATTAACCACTAAGATGAGGGATTTGGAAAATACGAAATCTCAGCTAGAAAAGGAAGTGGAAAAAAGGAAGAAATCAGATGAACAAGTGGAGAAATTGAAATTAGAACTTAAAGAGCTTGATGACATTCACAACTCGTTTAAAGAATTACAGAATAATTTTGGAGAACTTGAGAAAAAGATGGCTACAAAAGTTGAGGAGAATTTAACAGCCACAAGTAAAGTACAAACACTTGAAAGTGAAGTTGATAAATTTGAGAAGGAGAAAGTAACTGCAGCTGGTCAAATAGATACTCTTCAGAAAGATATTGAGCGACTTGAGAGAGAGAAAAATGAGGCAGATAGTAAAATACATGATCTTCAAAACAATACTGACAGACTTGAGAGAGAGAAAGATGAATGTGTGCAGAGGATTGCCTTATTACAGCAGAATGTTTCCAGATTGTCTGTCTTAGAAGATAAAGTGAACAAGTTGGAACAGGATGTTCTTGATGCTTACACTATAAATAAAGACTTAGAGGAAACCAAAACAAAGCTTGAATTGAATCTTGAACACAGTAGACAGGAGATAAGGGAAAAATCAGAAACAACAACTTCAATTGAAAAATATGTCCAACAGTTGAAAGAGGAACTTTCAAGTAAAGATATTGAGAATACAAATTTGGCAGAAAAACTTGAAGAGATGGAAACAGTTAATTTAGGCCTCAGGGAAATGGTCAACCAAACAACCAATCATATTCTCGAGAAAGAAACTGAAATTAAAGAAATTGTTGTGGAGAGTCTGCAATCTTGCGACAGTCCGTCTTCTGACTCACTAACAAATATTCGTAAAAAGATGAGAGACTTGAAACAAGAGTGTGAAAAGATAAGAATAGAAAGTGAAAATAAGTCACAAGAAGTGGAACACCTCAAGAAAGAACTAGAAAAATCTAAAAACTCAAACATGGAAAATGGAAATGAAATGAAGAAATTGGTGGAAAACTGTAAAGACTTGGATTTCCAGTTGGAAGAGAAATCAATTGAAATTACAGACATGATAGAAAGTAAGGTTGCCATTGAAACCAAGGTCAATGAATTAGAATGCAAGGTCAGCGAGGTGGAATGTTTGTCAAAGGAAAAAACAATTCAGCTTATGGAATTGAATGATGAACTGAATAAAGTAAAAGTTGCCAAAGAAATGTTGGAAGCTGACGTACGTGATTTGGAAGAGGAGAAAGAGGAGCTACAAGCACTTGTTGAAACAAATTCAAGTCTTAAGAAGGATAATGAGAACTTGGAAAAAGATATTCTAGATGAACAAAGGACAATAGAAGATTTGTCAGAAGTTCTACAGAAAAAACAAAAGGAAAAGGGGGAATATGTCCTAAAACTGGAGGACCAAATTACTGATCTTAAAAACGGTGAGTTGAGCAAAGAAGAGAGCCATAAACAAAAAGTCACTTTACTAGACCAGGAAATATCAAAACTCAAAAATGAGTTGGAAGAAAAGTGTAATAGAATTGAGGAATTAAATAAAGAAATTGATAATAAATCTGAATCTGTTTGTGAAAAAGACAAAAGATTGGAGGAAATTGAAGCACAACTGAAAGAAAATGTGAACTTGACTACACAGCTTCAGTCAGAGCAAAAAGAAATAAATCAAAGGATTGAGAATGCTGAAGTAGAAAGTGACACATTTAACAAGCAAATCAATGATATTAGAAATGAAAAGGAAAGTCTGGAAAAAGAACATGAACAATTGGTTGCAAAGTGTTCTGAACTTGAAAACCTGACTGTAGATTTGAAGAAAAGAAATGAAACAAGCTCTGCAGAAAATGGCTCACTAAGTCAACAAATTGAATGCATAAATCAAGAAAAGCAAACTTTACAAACTGATTTAGATCGATTAAAGATCAAGTGTAATGAACTTGAAAGTTGTAGTTCTCAGTCAGAGACAAGTGATAACGAACAGAGTTCTCGCAGTGTGGCCAAGTTACAAATTGCTGAGCTCAAGTCTTCACTTCACATGCACAAGACGCTCCATGAAAATGCAAAATCTGAAGTTTTAGAGAGTGAGGAAAGAATAACAGAGCTTGAAAAGGAAATAGAAACTCTTAAGAGTAAACTTATCAGTGTTAAAGATGGTGATGATGTTGAAAATGTTGATGATGAGGATAAAGAATGTTTAACACTGAAAAAAGAACATGAAAGTTCATTAAATAAATTAGAATTAGACTTGGAAAACAAAAATGTTGAAATAGAAAACCTGAAGAAACAAGTGGACAGTTTACAACAGGAAAGTTTGGAAAAAACAGAATCTTGTGATAAACTTAAGTGTGAACTAGAAGTAAAAAATAGTAAAGTTCAGAGTTTACGTGAAGATTTAGACAGTCTAAAACAGTACAAAAGCAAGTCTGAAAAGTCATTGAAAGAGATGGATCATATATCAAAAATGTGTAAACAGCATGAGATTCTGATTCATGAACAGGACCTGAAAATTAAAAGCTTTGAAAAATGTGATAGTGAAAAGCAGGTATTAGTGGAAGAAGTAGAGCATATCGAATCAAAATGTGAAAAACTGGAAAAAGAAAAAAGTAAACTGAAAATAGAAATTGATGGGTGTAAGTTTCAAAAGGAAGTGTCTGATCGAGAAATGAAAAATCTGAACGAGGCCATTTCTCAGCAACAAAAACTCATCTGTCAGCAGTCAGAAAAAATGAAAGAATTAGTTCAGTGTGATGGGTCAGTCACAATTTCAAATGAATTAGACACATTAAAATCTGACTTGAAGAGCAAGTCTGAGAAATTAGAACATCATAAAGATAAATTAACTAAAGTGGAAAATGATTTAGTCAGAATTAATTATGAACTTCACAACAAAGAACAAATCATAGGGAACTTAAAGGAAAATCTTAATCAGTTCCGAGAGAATGAGTGCTTGAGTCCTACAAGTCAAAGTCACTGTGCTCGAAAGCTACGGAAAGAAAAAATTGAGGTAGAAAATCAATTAATAGAAGCTAAGTTTAAGATTAAACAGTTAGAAAATGAAGTACATAGTGGAGTGATGTCATCACCCAGACGTATGGTACATACTGAATCTATACAGAGGGCATCGGTCACTAGTCCTACGGTTCACAGAGAATTAAACAGGGTAGGTTGTTGTGTTGAATCTTTATATGATGATAGTTTTAGTTACAAAAGTCCATCTTTTGGCACCTGAAAAATATGAACGCTTTTGTAAATTACTAAAAAAAATATATATAGAATCAGTGTATTAAACTTAAAAAATAAATTACCAAGTACATGAAATAGTCATAGTTTCTATCTTGTAACATCACAGTGATGTTCCAAATTGTCATCTTTTTGTCAAAAAAGGACCTGGATGTTCTTTCACGGACTAATTCAAAATTTGATTGCAGGTCAATTTGAATTTGAAATGCAATATACCGTATGGACAGAATAAGCATAATTCTACTTTAGTGCATATCATATCTTTACTTAAGTTATGCTACAGTAATATGTTGGAGTATACAGATAAACTCTTTCATTCGAAACACAGTTGTCAAGTAATCATAGTGTACCCATTGAATGCTTATTTTCAATACTGTTATATCTGCTTATTTTATTTGTCATCATGATGTTAGCATACTTTTATTTTCATCTCTATCATGTCTGTAAGAAAAGGAATGATATTCATTCATTCTCTCTTACTATTGACGATATACTTATACATCTTCATTTTAACATTTTAACAGCATCTCATGGAAGGTTAAAACAGAATGCTTTCATTTCTTTTCTAGAGTCAAGAAAGGGAACAGAACCTAAGAAGCCAATTACAACAAGCCAGCCAGACAGTGAAACAACAGAATGAAAAGATCAGTGAGCTGGAAAAACAGTTACTAGATACCAGTACAAAACTTAGGGCTGCTGAAGATTCATTAAAACAAAGACAGGTAGGTTGACTTTATACCAATAATTAACATTGATCAGCTGAGGATTCACTGATAATAAAATAAGACAGGATTGTGGACTTGACACCATTACAAAACATTTATTCCCAAATTTTCTTGTCTCTTTTCACAGACATTGTTTTTATAGGAAGCAGTAAAATTACCTGTGTTGTTGGTAGAGTGCTCGTTTAGTGTGTGGTAAGTTCAATCCCTTTTTGGGTCAAACCATAGACTTGAAAATCAGTATTTGCTGGTTCTATGCTTTGCACATGACATTTAGGAGTGAGATCAAAGATTGGTTCGAGTCAGCATACTGTGTTTGAGTAGGGTGACATGTTTCCTGCTGACTGTTACCTAATGTTGAAATCCTGCTCAGAGTGTCAGACTTGCACAATGCAGGGTTCATATTCATACCTTATTAACACACCGTTGTCCAAATATACATGTTATATTTACCACTGGACCAAAAACACCAATCCCTCCATCCATCAAATGACATTTTAACATGTTTAATCGTATCATTAGGTTTCACACAAACAAAACAGTTTATAGCTATGAATTAATAAAATGACTGTTATTTCAGTCTCTGTATGGAGTTCCACAAGATAGTTGTGTCCAGGAAGATATGAAGAGATTACGAGAGGAACATGCTAAAAGATGGGAGATCATTCAGAACTTAGAAAAAGATTTACAGAAGAAAGAAAGCAAGCTTCAAAGTAAAAGTCAAGTGGTCAAAGATTTGAAACAAACAATGGAAATGGAGAGAGATAAGTTTGAAGCTGCTCTGAGAGGTAATGACATTGGTTTATAGAAATACTACATGTACGAAAAGTATAACAATACTTTATAAAGGTATAATAAAAAAACAAAGCTCAAAGTATACCTTTAACTTTTGAGATGTGGGGTAGTATTTTTTTTCTACAGTGACGTGTAGTAATTGTTGATGAATTGTGTATTTAGTTATTCCCATTGACTCTTATCATTCAGTATTACCATAAATAGATATTTTTAATGTATTTTAAAATTTTGAAACAATGAAAATAAATTTAAATCAGGGGATGGTCGGATTATATCTATGCAGGCTAAAAACCAATGTTACTGTTATTTTAAGGATGTCTATATCAAACATTGATTAACTATAAGAACATTATTCTCCATTAACCTTATATCTGGGAGACATATGAATTTTACCATGCAACTCCATTGATTATGATATTTATACTCTTGAGAATGAGATAGTTATATTCTCAAACTTTGAGATGCTGGGTCCAGAGTGGATATATATTGAAGTCAGTGGGGGGAAAAGTGGTAGAATTCTGTTTCTCTAATGATTTGATAGAAAATACTGAGTGTAGTTGTTCTTAATTTAACCAACATGTGCTTTATAAAAATTTATCAAACTAATCATAACCGATTTAAACATTTGTTAAATGCATACAGAGTTAGATAAATATAAATTCTACCTCTGCATCAACTCAAGATAGTTCAATTTTGTGACGTCACAATAGGAATATCAGAGGAAAGCAAGAAAAATTAGCCTCATAATTGAATTTTGACCAATGAAGGCAATCAAACAACCTCACGTTAATTATATATAGATTCTACCACTGCATCGAGTGTGATACAATATTTCTCCACTTGAGACAGTTGAATATTCAAATTTAAAACATGAGGCTTGTCATCATCAGTCACAATGGAGAAATAATCAAAAGGTCAGGTAATGAATGAATCAGCGAAGAATTAGAGAAAAAATATAATCAAATAGTCAGAAAACGTATAAATCAGGTAAGAATCATAGACATAGTTTAATATTCACAATGATAAATTGATATATAAATTATTAATGTGTTATGTTTGACCCTAGATGCCAATGCTAATGAGGCTGTGATAGAAGAATTAAAGAATGCCATAGCTTTACAGGAGGAAACAATGGAGGAACAAGACAGATACATTCAACAGAAGGAAGAAACTATCTCTAAATTACAACAGGGTAAACAATGAATAATAATTGATAGTCGTTTGTTCCATTGGGTTTAATTTAAGGCTATTCACTATTGAAAAAAAATGTTTCAATGCCAATTTCTGAGTGCAAATGGCTTGTTTCATAAATAATCTTCATAAGGTGAGCTTTGAGACAACAGTTTTGAAAGTAAAATATATTCAACATATGATTGCCAATAACCAAAAGGGTCTATAAAATACAACAGCCAAAACTTCCAAAAAAGTCTGCATTGCCATTGGCAGAGGAAGTCCTATAAACATTAGTATAATTGTACATGTCAATTACATAGTTTATTAACTGTAGTTTACAAACAAAATACATGAATTGAATAATGCCAGTATCAAATTCAAAGCACTCATGGAAGGTGAATAAACATGCTTGACACAGTCAGTCCAAAGAAAGGAGACACGTTTTAAACCAGAGGAGATATGTTATAGCTGTTTGTTACTTTGGCACCAACACATACTTCTATGGTCAGTGATGACCAATGACAAAGATCAGTGTCAACAAACCTTTCAACACAGTATTCTTTCTTATTTTAAGTATTGTCTTCTATTTTTGTCAATATTATACATGTAAAAGAGGAACAAACAGATTATTGTTTTTTTTTCATCTGGTTCTTTTTTTCTATGTCACTTTATATTTAATAACTGGTTTTTGCATGATTACTCTGATTATTTGAGTTTTAGAAATCTCCAAAACAAACTAGGTGACAAGGGCTGTTCCATAATTGTATGTGGGTAAGAGGAAGAGAGGTACATTATTAACCTGCACCCCCTAAAATATAACATTTTAAAAGTTCGATGTAATTCCAAAGATTTCATCAGGAAAATGAAAGCACATAACAAATTTTCATTTTAAGTTCCACAATTCAAACAACACCCACCAACCTAAACAATTATTTCATGAAAAGTTCTAACAAACATATCTTTTTTAGATGTTGAAAAGTATACAGATAAATATCACCAGCTGTTGACTTCTAGTGGAGACTCTGGTAGAGAAATGAGAGAAATGACACGGGAGAATGTTAGACAGTCGGCAGAGGTCGATCAATTCAAGAAAAATGTGGAGGAACTGAAAAGTAAACTGCAAAAAATGCAGGAAGAAAACTTAAAATTATCTGACACTTTCAATGTAAAATGTAAAGAACTGAGTGAACTTGAATCCTTACTGAAAGAAAAGAGGGAGGAGTGTGATAAACTTCACTCTTCTACAAAGGAAGATAATTGTGAAGATCTTGAAAAGACGGTTGAAGAACTGAAGCGTAACAACCAGAAATTAAAGGATGATAAACTGTTACTTAATATTGTAATAAAGGAAAATAATGATGAACTAAAAGAAATGGAAAAGTTAGTATCAGAAAGACGAAAAGAGTGTGAAGAACTCAAGTCACAAAATAATACTGACAAGTTAGAGACTGTGGAGTCAAAAAATAAAGAGCAGGAGCATGTCATCACAGAACTTAAAAATAAGATCAAGGTATGTACTCTTAATGACAAGTAGGGCCCAAAATTACCTCAGAGAATATTGTTGAATTAAAGTATAAAGGTTATGAATACATTATTAGAAAACTGGAGAGAAAAACATAAAGGTATGTATTCTGTAAAAAGCAGGCTAAGGACAAAAAATAACACAGGGAAATCAGCAGAAACCAGAAAAATAACATTATTTTCTCCAAGTAGGATCTAGAATTACGCAACACACATCCGGTAATTAAGTGCAAGGACAATGATACATTTTTGAGATTTCCATTATTCTGAAAACTTTTTCTCTCAATTATTACAAATTTGACAGCAGAAATAGGACAAGTACAAACGACACAAAACACTATTTAAGGAATTGGGGATTTGATGGTCCCAAATGCAGTTGTACTGGTGATGTGTAGTGGAGCCAGTAAAATGGATATTTGCGACCATCAAATCCCAATTGACGACTGCAACTCTTCAACTACAGTACTGTTATTCCGATTCTAAAGCATCACAAAAAGAAAAAAAAACCTCAGAACTTGAAGAATGTATATAGATTTACAATTAAATAAAATTCAGCGAAAATTCATGAATGATTTTGGCGCATAAATGAAATGACTACACCTGAGGTCATACAAATGACAACGTTCAAACTGCAGATTATTACGTTACTTCTACGATTCAAATTTGGATAAAATTACATCAAAACAGTGTTTTTGGGGTAGGTGTTGTTTTATTTTGGATTATATTGTAGTAATCAAACATTTGTTTATCCAAGCAATTCAATATGGCGGCTCACTCCTTAGTTATGACATGTGACGTCAACCGTGGATTTGATGGTAAATTATAGCCAATGAAAAAAAATGTTACATAAAGATTGCGTTAGAATTCTTTGATATTTTTTTGAAAAGGCAATAAAAACTTTTAGGGCAAGTCTAGAGACTGGAAACACATATATATATTTTTTTGGCTTCACAATATTTCCTTATAAAAGAATTTATTATAGAAATCAAATAACAATCTGTAAATTTTACATTTGCACTGTATAACAATGAAAAAAGAGGAAATACAGCATACCTGCTAACAATCTTCCGTTTAAAAAGAAACTCAGGGGAATTAAATTAACGTAAGAACACAAAGTGAGCAGTTCTTTTCTATCAAATTGTCAAAGGAATACAAAATTGATTTTGATAAAAGGCATTCTAAAACAATAGTTTTTATCAATGACAAATTACAAATAGTTGACCCCATTGCAGGATAAAGACCACAGTCTGAGGGATTCTCACAAAGAAGTTAGAAGTATAAATGATGAACTGTCCAAAGTTAGACATGATCTAGATATGTTGAAATCAGAATTAAAGGTAAGTTAGAAGTATAAATGATGAACTGTCCAAAGTTAGACATGATTTAGATATGTTGAAATCAGAATTAAAGGTAAGTTAGAAGTATAAATGATGAACTGTCCAAAGTAAGACATGATCTAGATATGTTGAAATCAGAATTAAAGGTAAGTCAGAAGTATAAATGATGAACTGTCCAAAGTTAGACATGATCTAGATGTGTTGACATCAGAATTAAAGGTAAGTTAGAAGTATAAATGATGAACTGTCCAAAGTTAGACATGATCTAGATATGTTGAAATCAGAATTAAAGGTAAGTTTTCCCATAGAAGGAATAATGTTTTCTTTAATTGTGCTTTAATGTATAACTGTACTTTAAAATAACACCAAAAAAAAAAAGAGTTTTGTCGAGCCTTCGACTTTAGTCGAAAAAGCGAGACATAGCGATCCTACATTCCGTCGTTGTCGTCGGCGGCGTCCACAAATATTCACTCTGTGGTTAAAGTTTTTGAAATTTTAATAACTTTCTTAAACTATCCTGGATTTCTACCAAACTTGGACAGAAGCTTGTTTATGATCATAAGATAGTATCCAGAATTTGGACAACACTTTTAGGGCACACCCCTACCACTTCGACTGGCTTCCCTTTGGCCAGAGGTACTACTTCCAATCGTGTCGGGAATGCCGTAAAGTGGTTTACCGTCGCAAAATTTCTAGGCAATTTTGGGATGGTATCTCTGTTTTTACATTCATTTAAATAATTTTGGTGTTGCTGGCACTTAACTAATTTAACATTTAATTTTCTGAAGGCACGGAATGATGGTACATTTATTTCTCGAATCCGTTGCGGCTCTTCTTTGTACGTGGATTCTGCTGTCTGATCTTCGTTTGTTCTTTTCCTTTTATTTGTTTGTAGTTCGGCAGCGGTTGAAGGTATCGGTTGATTGCTGGCTTCTTGAAATTCTTAGGTATCGTTCGATTCCATGGTGGCCAAGTTGTCGGCGCTGTGTGGTATAGGCGGATCCATGGATGCAGGGGTTCAGAAATAGGGATAAAAATAAGATAATAATCAGCTGCTGAACCAAAGCCTTTGTGGTGAAGTGAAGGTAGAGTCACTAAAGATCTAATCGGCGAAACTAGTCGACACAATAAAACTTGCAGTTCACTAAAGTGTTGTTGTCAATCCAGCAGTATTTTATTTATTTATTTTAATTGACAACCCTGCATACCATCGGGTATCCTCTTTAGTGACTCTACCTTCACTTCACCACAAAGGCGTTGGTTCAGCAGCTTCTTATTCTTATTTATTAATAACAATGAAAATTACAATACTTATTAATATTAAATTGTGGTAGTAATTAGATAATTAATTGTATTATCTAGCTATGTCGGTGTTTCTTCTGAATCAAACGGTAAACCAAATATATCGTATAAATTTCGTTGAACCAAACTAAAATCTAATAAATGAAGGGGGTGATTAATTATCTATACCATAACACACGAATATAACAGAAAATACGTTAAGACATTTGACAAAATCCGACGAGAACAACAAATAACATCAAAATTAAATACATGAATTTGGATAGAAAGGTACCGTGACACGTCTTATAGCAATGCGGTTTCACACTCAGCAAAACAGTCACAATTGGGAATAAGTCACGTTCGGTAATTAAAAGATCAGACGACGTAATGACAAACCACAATCTAACACGTGGTAAAAATGTGAATGGAATTACAAAGCTTAACATTTAGATACAGTCCAAGATTTGAGTTTTTCATACATAAACAAATTTGTCAAACCTAAATGGAATTTATGAAGCTTTGAAAGCTATCAAAGGACAGTATCCAGAGCAAATTTCAGTATTTTACTGATATATAGCCTTAGTTCTGGCAGTTAACATTAACATACAGATTGGGGTTAAATTTTTAGACATCAATAACATTATTAAACCTTCATGGAATATTACGAAACTTGGACACAGGGTCCACAAATTTGTATTTATTATCTTTTATTCCAGGAAAAAAGTAATGCCATTACAGAATTTAGTAAACAGGTTCAACATAAAAATCAGGAGATCATCAGACTGCAAAGATTAATAGAAGATAAATCTAATGAACTTAATGTAAGGTTATATTATCTAATGAACTAAATGTAAGGTTATATTAGGCCAGCCTTAAAACAATATTTGTTTGATGCTGCCTTCCCATGCCTTGTAGGGGTGGGTAGGTAGGTTGGGATTTTTTTTTTTTTGCCCAACAACATAAGTTACATGTTTTAGACAAGAAAACAATGTTAGAGCTGGAAAAAATTAAAAAAAAAAATTTGAACTGATTTGTGTCATAAAATTTTTCAGGTAGGCTTTAAGTGGGTAGGTAGGCAACATCAAACAATCTAAATTTTATTTTTGGCCTAATGTATGGAGTTCTATACCATATTGTATTTGTCTAGTGAAGTATTTTGAATCAAGATATTATGAGTGAAGATAATACCTCTTGGTAAAATTACAGAATAAATTACAACTCTAGGATCTCATTAATCATGTTAATTACTTGTTTGACATAAGAATTCTCAAGGATGGAATTACAAAGCTTTCTTTTAGTGGCTTAATTTTACCTTTTAAACTGAAATTTCATAAGGAAAACTTTTGAACTTTTGTGTCATTTCTAAATGAATCAGTTATTGTTATTATAAAAATGTTCCTTGCAAGTATAGTTTAAAAAGCCAAATATTCAAGTAAGGAAAGCAATGAACATTATCTAGTCAGAAACATTGTCTTATATTTCACACAATGGTCAGAAGATAACTCTAGATGAATAGAGGTTGGATTTGAAACACAAATTTGATTATAGAAACGAAAATAACCATACATCTTCTCAGGATATAAAATATTTTTTACATGATTTTTGTCTCGCCTTGACTGAGTCAGAAAGCCAAACATAGGTATGCTGTTTCCGCCAGCTTTGACGTCAACAATGTATTAGTTTGTGATGAGGTCTAGTTTATGGTGAACCACTAGTGGTAGGTCAATGATATTTGGTATGCAGTTGTATTAGCATTGGCACATCTCATTTCCATGGAGATTATTTTGCCCTGCTCCCTCAGTCATGGTCTATTGACTTTAACACTTTTGCTTAGTTTACATGTATTATTGGGAACCACTAGTGGTAGGACAATGATATTTGGTATGCAGTTGTATAAGCATTGGCATATCTCATTTCCATGGAGATTATTTGGCCCGGCCCCCTCAGTCATGGTCTATTGACTTTGAAACTTTTGCTGTTTACATGTTTTAGTGATTAGATCAGTTTCAGATGAACCACTTATGGTAAGTCAATGATATTTGCAAGTCTCGTTTCCATAGAGATTATATAGCCCTACCCCCTCATCATGGTTCATTGACTTTGTAACTTTTACATAGTTTACAAGTTAATGTTTGTGTTTAGGTTTGTTTAAAGGGAATGACTTATGATAAGTCAATGGTATTTGGTATGCAGTTGTATTAATATTGGCACATCTCATTTCCATGGACATATCTCTGTGTTAACAGTTTATTAAATAAAGTGGTAGATATATCAGGCTTATATTTGAGAAAATGTATGGTTATTCCCTTTATACTGCAATGCTCAAAACTGAATACTTTGGGTGAAAATAGTGAATTATGAACATGAAGCAGATGAGGGCTTTTCCAGAATTAAAATCCGCCATGCATAAAATGTTAATTGACTATCTGATATAATTGTTAAGGCTTTCTGTCTAAAATAACCACCACCCATCTAATTTTAATAAAAGTGCCTTCTAACATACAAAATATTGTAAAATGAAGGAAAACTCAACATTGATTCAAGCGGTCAAGTAAATACCATTAATGTATGGGCAATGTCTCAAATAATGTTGGCCTCTTTTTTGATAGGTGTAATATAATTTACAAGTAGAAAAAAAAAATTATATATTTTGTTTACTTGTAGAATTGGAAATTAGAACGTGACAAGTTGGTTGATGGTCTGGAAGGAATAATGAAGAAACAGCAAAAGGAAATAAACGATCTGAAAAAACAAAAAGCTGAGTTAGAAGATAAACAAACAACCAGACACAGACATGTAGGTCCTTAATTGTTTATGATGATGTATTTATAGGAAATAAACAAGTTTGCTGTATTTATAATAAGGGTAAGATGCGGTAGAATTAATTTATATTACTAACAGTGACTTTTCTGGAACAAAAGAAAATATGAAACTGTCATAGACTGGAAAGTCCCTTTACCAACTGATGTATTATGTATTAGTTTAAAGAACTGCTCCTAGCAGTTCTTCACTTATTTAATGACATATATTAAACAATTAACATGATATTTATACAGGGCTTCAAAATATCAGTTCTGCCTTAGATTTAATTTACACATGTTTAAAAAGATATTGCCTGAATAGGGTCAGTAATAGATTACTATGCCCAAAAAAAAAGCTCACTCCCATGTCTTTCCTCTCCAGAGTTTAATTTTAAATTTAATGTTTTGAAATATTTCTGTTTAGGCCATAAAAAAGAATAGGTTGGTTTGCCACCGACCCATAAAAAAGCACCCGAGTCAAAATCTTTTTTTATTCAAATTCGCAATGTTTTTTTTTTTTTTTTTGGCGGAGTTTTGTCGTATCCATATCCGTCTTGAATTTGTTGCATAGAATAACCTGATCCGATCTGACCGTGCTTTATCGCAGGACAATTTGTGTTATGTATTAAAGCCTCCAATTGATACGGATGAAAAACAACATGTTACCGTCTAGTACAAATAAAGTTGGATTCAAATCAAAACCTGTAGTTTCCAACAAATTCTATCGTGTTGAAAACGCAAAAACATGGAAAGAGGTGTTTGATAAAATGTGTGATGACGATTTCATGCTATGAAATTTGTGTGATTGTCTCTGACCGATCGAGACACTCGTTTCAGCCCGATTTTGAGGAACCAATCCAAGTTGTTCAGGAATTTGATTGGCATTAAAATTTGATTAAAATGATATTATTCTGACAGAAGTTCTGTCAACAGTGTTTTGTTCAAGTGTTTTGTATTTGAATTTTGTATTCAAATAAACTTCTTCTTCTTAGTATGAGCCTCTGTTAATTAGGAGAACCTCCAAATATATATGGAGTTTTTCCTTAACTTTAAAATTTTAAAGAATAAAACAAAAACGTTTTTTCCAACATATGAACAGCACATATAAATATAAAACAATAAAAGTATCATGCATGGCATATTTACAGGGACCTTTTTATTTATTATTTAATTTCGTTTTCATAGCTTTTAATATTTGTCGAGAGCTTCTTTACATTTCTTACAATTGTTATATGACAGACTCTGTGTCGGTATATATATATGTCACTTATGATAATCACTATTTTCATTTGTTTGTCATTTCCTCCATTTTGAGATATATGTATATATATACGTATATGCAATATATGTCTTGCTATTTGTTGTCCATAATTTTCAATTCGGCTTTCTATATGCATTTGGAATAACACATTTCTGGTTTTGTTTTCAATATTTTCCTGGAATTTTTCACAGTTATCAAACAGCTCCTTATATTTTGAACAGTCTATAAGCAATTGTACTATCACAGTTTTGTGCGTGAAGGTGCAGTTCCATTTTGTTGGTGTGATTTTATCACTGATCTCTTTTCTTATTTCAGGGAAATATTTTTCTCTCGTAGTACTGAGTATATACTCATTTAAAATGTTTGTCTGTATTTAATTGAGGTGGAATGCTGAAAAAAAACTGTTAATAGAAAAGATCTTTATAGCACATATAGATTCTGGCATATATGTGTCTGACAATTTATACAAAACTCTATAATAGTTTTTATTTCAAAAGTTGTTTACAAGGTAAAATAATTTTTCCCCTATTTTTTTTCTAGAAGTATAAAAAAAAAAGAATTTCCCTACCTACCTACCCACACCTGAAACTGGTGGGTAGGGTTTGGGCAAACAGAAATATTTTTAAGTCTGGCCTTAATTATTTTCAATTTTAATGAGCAGCCTCACGAAACTAAATTGGTCTGATATTATTTGTGTAAGAAGGATATAATCTAAAATTTTATTTCATGTTGCAAAATTAAAACCTGTCTATATGATAATATATTTGTATTTGAATTTATGATATTCAGAGATCCACTACACAGCATGAGAAATTGATCATTGTACCAGATTCTACGGAGGACATTATTATCAAACAAGAAATACCAGATGTTTTCCAGTCTCCACCAAGGAGAGCTCTAAGTAGGCGGGGTCGCAAAAGAAAATCACCAACTTTAGAAACGCCTGACATGGTAAGTGTCTTAGATGTATCCTTCCATTATAAAATAAGTATAAAATCATTTTTTTTTAATTCGGTTGTTTCTGAGTCTGTTAAATACTGTGAACGTAATAATTTTCAACATTTTCAATCTGGGTTTTGTACGCAAGAAGATGTATGGTATAAGTCAATGAGACAGCAACCCAACAATACAAATAATCAAAAGACATCTATAGGGCAACATATAGTCTTCAACAAAAGACAGTACTCTGTATGTATAGTTTTATTTGCCACAGTTTGTTCACGAGTACTGTAAATTCAGAAATTATTGCATGCATTTATTATTGCGATTTTGTCATTTTAGACTAAAATGCGATTTTAATTTTTGCGATATTGAGAAAAATCCTGTTTAATTCATATAAAAAATTTCAAAATGCGAGTTTAAATTATTGCGATTATAACCCTGTCGCATTTTTCGTAATAATAAAAACATCGCAATAATTTCTGAATTTACAGTATTTATTTCCACATTTCACAATACTGTGCTGTTTACTGTTTGATAAATACAGATTAATTAATGAATATAAGCAATGTGATGGTAAGAAAGTAATACCAAGACATTTATAATCTATATGTGAGACATGTGGAACAATACCTTATAAATGGATTGCAATATAATGTAAATAGATGAAAGACTACTATATCATGATGATGTCCAACATTCCTTTATGTTTTTATACCAACAGTTTCATAGCTTTCTTGTACAACGTTTCCTGTACAACATTTCCTGTACCAAGTCCAACATTTCCGATAATTTCTTGTTCAGCATTTCCTGTACTTCTTTGCCATACATTTCCTGTACTTTGATGTTCAACATATCTAATAATTTCTTATCAAACATTTTCTGTACTACCTTGCCAAACTTTTCCTATAATTTCATGCCCAACATTTTCTGTACTCCTGCCTATTACCATTAGATATGGTTCTTAAAATCTTTTCCATATCTTTCTCAGCCATCGTCTGCGAAGAAAGAGATAACAGATGACAATTTGACATTTGTATCGGAGGACGGAGACATCTCACATCATATAGAGATAGACGCTACCCCAGCCATTGCTGCTAAAACCCTCAGAAAAAGTAGAAAGAAGAGGTCCTCAGTGGATTTGTTAAGGGTAAGTATTTTTTGAACAGAAGATTTCTCATGTTTAGGTGGGGTTTTAGCAAAACGTTCTAGTCATGAGAAGGTAGAGCCGTTAGATGATGGAAGTTTCGTCTCAAGACTGGTATTTTTATCTAAATCCTAAACGTAACATTTCAGTTAAACATTTGAAATTTTATTCCATTATTCTTTCATTATCAAAACATTAGCAAAAACAGCAGCCTTTTATAATAAACAATGCAAATGATCTAGTGTCTCCATGTAGGATAAAAAGGCTGTTAAAAGGGCATATAAGTTTTGGCATACAATAGCAGAGAGGGTAAAATATTGAAGTTACCTTGGTGTAATCAGACGTGTACTGAATTCCATGTCAGAGTTGAAAAATCACGCACCTTGAGGCAGCACAGAGTAATTAACCAATCAGATTGCATGTACTTAACCAATCATATCGCAAGATTCGTGCTTCATTAGAAATAGAAAAGACTTATCACAGAGAAATTGAAATATAAAGATATTCATCTGATTAGAGTATTTGTATTTAAAGTAAGCTAGTTTTCAACCAATAACAATGCAAGATACTAGTACATGTATAAGGTGTTACTATAATGAGTATTTTATATCTGAATTTGTACACACATTGTTAAAAGAATCAGTATGAACATTTTGTTTTATGACTAACTTTGAATGTAAGAAGTCCAGGTTTTTTTAAAGCTCAACAGATAATCATTTAGGTCAAGCAAACATTTATGTGAAACTAATTGAACTAAGTTTAAAGTTTTTATTGCAAAGGAATGTAATATTTTGATTTTAGAGTGCAACTCTGAGGTTTTTCTGTTCTTTCTTTAAAAAAATACATGTGAAAACTGAGTCTAAATCTCTGATTTTTATTAAACTTGTTTTCAAACATTTTAGACTGTAAGATCTCTACACAAAAAGGTGAATAAATATATATTAGATTGTTAACTGGTTCATTTTATCTGTTGTGTAAGAAAAAAAAACTATTGAATCTATGTTATTTTGTTTGGTTGATTGTGTTATGTTTGTTTTGCCAGCTTTCATTTAAAATTTCTTTGATTTTTTTTAAAAGACCTTCATAGGTTTCTCAAAAGTAAGTGGCATTTTGTTTTGTGACACACACAGGAATGTAGAACTGCAAATGGAGCTGTGGGTCATTACATAAAAGTTTGGAGGGTTGGAAGGCAATTTTATCTTTCAAATTAAATTGCCTTAAGATCAATTGATCTGAAACCCATCATTCATTCTTGTGATGTACATCTTATGCCTTCCACCTCTCCATTCAATTGTAAAACTTATACAAGAATAGTCTATGTTCATGATGTTTCAGTGTAGAAAAATAACATGGGTGAAATATAATATAATCAGAAAGCATTTGAAAAATGTTGCACAGTTTTAGCTTAAAGAAGTGGATTGTTTTATTCTTTTGTTTTCACTGGATAACGGTTAATGAACTGGACCTTCATAAAGTGTAATATAATATAAATACTAGAATTGAGCAGGTATGAACTTTACAGTGCATTTCACTTAAAACTTCAATGTTATCTCCCTTTGATCATTTACAATTGATTTACATTTAACTGAATTTATATAATCATTATTTAACATACAATAAATGGAAACATATGAGGAGATTTTACCTAATATCTGATTTCATCAATTTTATATATTTTTGTATTCAAATAATCAGTCAGGTGACTTACTTAAATGAGTGATTTTCTAAATCACTGATTCAAGTAACATTATGTCCATAAAGGTTGGAAGTAAGAGTTGTCTTTCTTTAATAATCACCTATTTAAGTAGTACAAATTAATCACTAGACTAAGTGATTTAATTTTATTGTAGCTTTAGATATAGAATACTAATGATCCAGGGACTAATTATGTTGCTAAAATTATCAGAACCAACATCTGTGTTGATAGGATGACCGGGTCATGTCAGGTGATGACCTTGTACTAAATCTAGGATAATGACATAAAAATCACTTGTTTAAGTATCATACCTCAATTTCCTTCCAAAAAATCACTTCTTTAAGTATCATTATTTTAATAACCCCCACTAATTTCAACACCCCCGAACAGTGAAATTTTGATCGCGAACAGTAGAATTTTATTACATAATCTATAAGATGAAACCTTGAATTTTACAGGAAAAATGCTCCCACTGCTGGGAAAAATCTGTTAAGAAAGTATCAGTTCATTATGTAAAGCCATTTTTATAGCATTTTTTCAACTAAAATAGAATTTGCAGCTAATTGATTGCATCAAAGGCATAAACCTTGCTGCTTAAAAATAGCAAAAAGTTTCATTTTTTTCAATTTTACTATTGAAAAGATATTATCTAAACCTATGTGTTTTAAAATTTTGGTAAAACTACAAAATCACAATTTGTGACAAAACTTCAAATTTTCTACTTAAATAAGTGATTTAAAAATCACTTATTTCAATAAGTCCCCTGACTGATAATACACTTTATCTTATCCTAATTAGATCAGTACTTTTAATCTAACGGTCATTTAGATATTGGATTCATACCTTAAGAAAATAAAGATGTCTCATTATTACCACAGCTTTACTGGGGTAAAAGGAGTTCAAAAATTGCATTACAAAAATTTTGAATATGTATTTTTCTTTAAATGTTGAATTGGATATTGAGTAAAGGCTGAAATTCTCGAAATTTATGCTTCAGGAAGAAAAATGTGATAAAGAAAATAAGAAGTCAACAAGAGGAAGAAAACAGAGAGCTTCTAAAACGACAAGTGATACACCAGAGACTAATGGAAAAGGACAAAGTAGGATTGGTTCTATTATGTCTGCCATTAAAGAATCTCCAATAACTAGAACTGGTAAATACTATCAGTGAAGGGAGATGTGGGGTAGATATGTCTGCCATTAAAGAATCTCCAATAGTTAGAACTGGTAAATACTATCAGTGAAGGGAGATGTGGGGTAGATATGTCTGCCATTAAAGAATCTCCAATAACTAGAACTGGTAAATACTATCAGTGAAGGGAGATCTGGGGTAGAAGTGTTCTATTATGTCTGTCATTAAAGAATCTCCAATAGTTAGAACTGGTAAATACTATCAGTTTGGGGAGGAGATGTGGGGTAGACATGTCTGCCATTAAAGAATCTCCAATAACTAGAACTGGTAAATACTATCAGTGAAGGGAGATCTGGGGTAGAAGTGTTCTATTATGTCTGTCATTAAAGAATCTCCAATAGTTAGAACTGGTAAATACTATCAGTTTAGGGAGGAGATGTGGGGTAGACATGTCTGCCATTAAAGAATCTCCAATAACTAGAACTGGTAAATACTATCAGTGAAGGGAGATCTGGGGTAGAAGTGTTCTATTATGTCTGCCATTAAAGAATCTCCAATAACTAGAACTGGTAAATACTATCAGTGAAGGGAGGAGATGTGGGGTAGACATGTCTGCCATTAAAGAACCTCCAATAACTAGAACTGGTAAATACTATCAGTGAAGGGAGATCTGGGGTAGACATGTCTGCCATTAAAGAATCTCTGATAACTAGAACTGGTAAATATTATCAGTGAAGGGAGATGTGGGGTAGACATGTCTGCCATTAAAGAATCTCCAATAACTAGAACTGGTAAATACTATCAGTGAAGGGAGATCTGGGGTAGAAGTGTTCTATTATGTCTGTCATTAAAGAATCTCCAATAGTTAGAACTGGTAAATACTATCAGTTTAGGGAGGAGATGTGGGGTAGACATGTCTGCCATTAAAGAATCTCCAATAACTAGAACTGGTAAATACTATCAGTGAAGGGAGATCTGGGGTAGAAGTGTTCTATTATGTCTGTCATTAAAGAATCTCCAATAGTTAGAACTGGTAAATACTATCAGTTTAGGGAGGAGATGTGGGGTAGACATGTCTGCCATTAAAGAATCTCCAATAACTAGAACTGGTAAATACTATCAGTGAAGGGAGATCTGGGGTAGAAGTGTTCTATTATGCCTGTCATTAAAGAATCTCCAATAGTTAGAACTGGTAAATACTATCAGTTTAGGGAGGAGATGTGGGGTAGACATGTCTGCCATTAAAGAATCTCCAATAACTAGAACTGGTAAATACTATCAGTGAAGGGAGATCTGGGGTAGAAGTGTTCTATTATGTCTGTCATTAAAGAATCTCCAATAGTTAGAACTGGTAAATACTATCAGTTTAGGGAGGAGATGTGGGGTAGACATGTCTGCCATTAAAGAATCTCCAATAACTAGAACTGGTAAATACTATCAGTGAAGGGAGGAGATGTGGGGTAGACATGTCTGCCATTAAAGAATCTCCAATAACTAGAACTGGTAAATACTATCAGTATAGGGAGGAGATGTGGGGTAGACATTGATCAGACAACAAACTACCATACAATAAAATTGAGAATGGAAATGGGGAATGTGTCAAAGAGACAACAACCCAACCAAAGAGCAGAAAACAGCCGAAGGCCACCAATGGGTCTTCAAAACAGGGAGAAAATCCCGCACCCAGAGGTGGGCTTCAGCTGGCCCCTTAAAAAAATATATACTAGTTCAGCAAAAATGGACGTCACACTAAACTCTGAAACACATAAATGACCCAAAATTAAAAAAACATACAAGACTATAAACAAAGACCAGAAGTTCTGACTTGGAACAGGCACCAAAAATGCGGCGGGGTTAAACTTGTTTAGTGAGATCTCAAAAAAGAGGGACAGTCAAACTCATAGATCGAAAACAAACTGACTCAATCCTCCCCCTATACCTCTAGCCAATGTGGAATATAAAAAGACTGTTTTGAAAATAAGAAAAAAAAACCTAAATAATTTAAATTGATTCCCACAAAAATTGCCTAATAAAACTAGCGGTTCGGTGTTCTTATTTGCACATTATACAAACATTCCAGCAAAGTAGGATAGCATTTGGGTATTTATTCAGGGAGGATATTGTGTCATTGTGTTATAGTAGGCCCAAATTTTTTAAATTATTACTTTATTACTTAAATTATGAAGTTGATGGCAGTGAAGACTCAATTAAAACATTTGTCTGTCCTTTTACTTTAGGGTTTTCTCATTTTGCCATACTAAATGTAGACTAGACAGTGAATGGAACACTATTTTATTTTTTAAAAGAAGACCCAAAAAACAGTAAAAATTATCAGAACATAAAAAAATTTCGATACCATCTCGATTTCTCTGTCCATAAGGGGGCTGGTTTATACAGGTTTAACTGTATCTTATAAGCAATTACTTGCAATTACTGATTTATTTATTAATGACAAATCTTCTTTATCTTTATTCTTTCGATTCTCATCAGCTAGTGATCTTCAAAATTTTATTCAACATCATGGATAGTTTGACTTGTATCTTAACTGCATTTTGTATTTGAATGGAAAATTTTAAGGGTATGCTTTCATGTTATTATATTTACAAAAATCGTTTCTTCACATACAGCTAAGAAGTTACTGGAAGACATTACAGAGGCTTCAACACCAAACAAAGATGGTGATACTACTATAGAAGTAGAGGATCATGGGACACAGATGTCACCTGCCCTCGCTAACAAACGATCCAGGAGAAAACATACCTTGTACAAAGAGTCACTACAGATATCTGAACCTCTGGATTGTGGAAATTTTGTGGTAAGATTTTTTTATTTGTCTAGCAAAAATATAGTGTAGTGTCCATTGCTTGTTCCTATCCATGATAATTTTCAGGTTTAAGGTACTTTTTAGGCTAATTTTGACACTGAATATTCTTGTTTACTATAACATTCTTTTGTTCTATGTAGCAGCTCAGTTTATCATAAAAGACAACGGAAATAGTAATTCAGGATGTTTGCTACTGTTTCAAAATAAAAAGCTTTTAAAATGACTGTTACAAATTGATAGTATATATATAATAGAACTAAAAAAGCGGGGAAAAAAAATGCAAGGTTTGTGTACTTGTTTGTGAGATATAAGCCATTGAAAATTTGGCGGGAAATGATTCTCTCTAGATTTTTCATACATTTAACATTGGCACCTTTTTCATATAAGAATTATGAAAAAATAACAAGGATTTTATAAGATTTTCAAAAATGGCTTTTTAAGCTATATGTAATAAAATTATGAATAGAAAAGTAGGGATTATTGGGCAAAGTTTTTATTGGCACTACATGGACAATAAGTCAAAAACAAAAGTAGCAAGCATCTTTAATCTTTTTATTTTATTAATGTTACATAAATGTGTAAGATATTACAACAACTCATAAACTATACACTGAAATGAGGATGAACTCAGGTAAACTATAAGTTCCTGCTGTAAGATCACCAGATAAGTCAGATTTAATGATAACTTTAAAAGAAAGAGGAAGAATCAAACTGAGACAACTAGACATCCCTGGTACTCTTTTGATAAACAATGATTAAACTGTTGTGGTGGCCATGTTTCAAATAAGTGTTACCAACTAAAAATCATCTTTATTTAATAGCATATGGTAATAATAAAGATATTTATACGAATCATGTTGGACTCATGAGTTTTAGAGCATTGTATATGAATGTAACCTTTTTTACGCTGTTTTTAGGGTCAATCTCCAGATGATGTACATACAACTGTACAGAGGAAGTTACGTGGCAGAAAGAAGTGACGATTTTCTTGATAATGTGATAATGATCATGTCATTGATTTAATGGACTATAAATATGCCTTCAGTTTGTAACTGTGATACTGGTCATATCGTCAGACATAAATGTACTTTCATTTTATAATTCATAAATGTACTTTAGCGACTGTTTCACCCAGGTTTATTTGTATGTAACTGAATTATATAGTTTATACATATACTTTAATGATAAGTTCAGAAATGTACTTTCATTATGGGTTCATACGTGTACTTTCACTTTGGGTTATTTACATGTACATTCATACATGTACTTTCACTACGAGTTCATATATGTACTTTCACTATGGGTTCATACATGTATTTTCACTATGGGTTCATACATGTATTTTCTCTTTGTTACTCTTCTTTAATCACTTCTAAAATAAGAATTAATTAAGTTTGTTTGACAATCTAATCACTAATGTCTCAGAAATATAGTCAATTTTACAAGTAACAAATGCCACAAACGATATAAAACTGTTTTACATTATGAACATTTCATACAACGTATTGTATTTGTTTGATGAAACCCAAAGTAAAGAAGAGGGTTCAATAAACACTTAGATTTCATTACAACTTTATGTTCTTTTGAAGGAAAGGGATTTGTATTGAAAATTGTATGCAGAGCATTCTTTACAAAAAGAGGTTGTCTTAGAGGGTTAAATTTATATCAACATCAAGTTGATGCTGATTTAATTGTATTTTTGTATCTATATCTTAGAAAAGCATTTTTTGGTGCTGTGTATATGGTGTTTATCTTTTATTTTTTTTTCTGTAATATGAAGGAGCCCATTATAGTGGCTTTGGTTTTATTTTTTGCTATGTACAATTATGATGCTTGAATGAACACAAGTGAAGAAAAATAGTGAGTTTGTTAATTCTGTATTTCTTTTTAGTTTTCAAATATTACTTGTAAGATGACATGAGGGAATTCTTATTGACTTGGCATTATGTTTTAAAAATTATGGCCATGTCAAAATGTTTTATTTGAATCATAAACTAATATTAAGTATTTTAATCAACATTAGAAGTTTTCAGTTGCAAAGTTCTGGTCACTTATATTTTTCAATTTTAAACCACATTTGTACTGAGACTGAGTCCAGTGTGTAATTATGATTTCAATGATTCATAAATGTATGGCTACCACAGTTGTTAACACTCAGGGGCAGTAAATTGTTAATTGTTTCTCTGATACCTGAAGTGATATTTGTATTATAATGCCATATCATGTTGTGTATTTCACTGCCCTATGATACAGTTCTGATGTCGTTTCTTTCTTTATATTATGTGAAGCGATGGTGAAATGAATACATAAGTTACAGCTCTTCTATAAAAGCATGCAAAGCAAACCTTTGATCAACTTGCTTGCTATGTTTGTTTGGATGTTTGTAAACAAAAGGTAGGTAGTCTGTTTCAGTCTGTTTACTATTTACTGGAATTTGATTGGACAATAAACATAAGTTCATTGCGTGTCAATTTTTATTGTCTAATCAAATATCAGTATTTACAAAACAGACTAAAACTCTGCCTACCTATTGTTTGCAAACATCCAAGCAAACAGCAAGCAAGTTGATCAAAGGTTTGCTTTGCATGCTTTTATAGAAAAGCTGTAACAAAGGCCATTGTAGGCTACAATTTACTTTGGGCATCAATCCGCTGATTTGTTTTTTGGATTTTTTTATCGCTAGACCTTTTTGAAAAAAGCTTTGTATGTTTCATTTACATATTAAGGATTCAGTTTATTAATAAATTGGAAATTAAGGATGTTCGCTACTCTGTTTCAAAATAACAAGCTTTTTAAAAGACTGTTGTAAATTGATAGTATATAAATAAAGGAACTAAAAAAGCAGAAAAAAATGAAGGGTCCGTGTGCTTGTTTTCGATATATAAACCATTGAAAATTTGGCGGGAAACAATTCTCTCTAGACTTTTCATACATTTAACATTGGCACCCTTTTTCTTTAAAAAATTATGAAAAAATAACAAGGATTTTATAGCATTTTCAAATATGGCTTTTTAAACTATATGTAATGAAATTATGAAAAGAAAAGTAGGGGTTAGCGGGGAAATTTTTTTAATGGCAGTACATGGATAAAACCAGAGGATTCCGAATATCTGGCAAAAATTCAAAAACAAGAGGAGCGAACATCCTTAATAGATACAGGATGAATTTATAGGAACATCTATCTCGTGTAGTACTACTTGGTAAATGTACAGGATTCAACAACTTCATGTAGTACTGTCCATACAATATAGTTAGGAACAGCTCTTTGACGTCTGTTCTTCATTTCTACACTTGCTTGAATGTATTCAGTATTAGCTGCATTGATGATACAATATAGTACTCAGTGTCAATTGAAGCTGTTTGTTTTGATTTTCTTAATGGAAAAATATGTGCACAAGATCTTTATTAAAAATTATTTTCTTTTTAATTTCTATGAGAATTATTTTGTTTTTAGATGAACATCAAAATTTTCATAATTTTATTTTTCTTTTCCGCATGACTTTAGGTGGCTTTTTTTATGTATCAATGTATAAATGTATATCTCCTCACTGGCTATACTCCAACAGATATATGACTTTCTTTTTACACTTCACCTATACATTTTCCTTTCTTTATACATTTTGTACTGTGACTATCCTATACTCATCAATCTGTTCTGATTCATATGTAGAAAATACAGTATTAATGTATGTAAATAGACCACGAATATGTATGTAAAGTATAGCCAATAATAAACAATCTGGCAGTTTGTCATACAATACATTTTGTTCTGTTTTATGTTGCATTATATAATCCAACATGTCAACTAATGTCAATCAGATATCATTACCAGTTTTGTTGTGACTGGCTTTTATAAGGGACCCCGATTAATCATAGGAAGGCCTAGAGTAATCAGCTTATCCAGATGTGTACCTCTGTCCATCACAAATTGTTCCTGATCATCAACTTTGAAACCCCTTTGAATTTGGTAATAAAACTTGACATGGTCAATCAACCCAACTGGAAAGTTTGTTTTGTACAAGAAAGAAATATGTACAGTGAAATTCATTAACAAAACTAAGTTCAACATAATCACCCCTTGATATGTCTGAAAATTGTTTCCACTCAATCAAACTTTCAATCAAAGCCCTTGGAATTTGGTAATTACACTTGTCATGATTATTCACCACAAAGATTTTTCAGGTACCCAGTGAATATATTCATTGAGTTTAGGAATGATATAATGGTTCATCATGCATTGGAATAAGCTATGTTTAAATCGAATAATACTGACTACTTGGAAGAGTTCTCTAAATTTGAATCACAATTTATTTGTTTACCAGAGCAGAGCCATTTGTAATGACTCCCATCACTATCCTTTAGTTGACTTCAGGATTGCATAACATTAGACGATTAGTCTGTAGAAAAACTAAGTGTCAATCTCTTTCACTCAAATTTTGTCTGGGTCATGCTTAGGTTTATCTCACCATATCTTATTTTTATAGATGATTTTTATACAGATATACCATCAGTTATGAAATTGAATGATTGTTGCTTGCCTTACGTCCAGAGGCATTTATTTCCGTAATTAAGATGAATTATCTAATTTGTGCACAGTAAAAAGAGCTGCTTGGAGATGATAAATATCTTAAGAATCTTGATTGATTATTTGCTTAATGTCCATTAGCAATGTTTTTTTTTTCTTCAAAAAATGAAGATGAGAAGAGATAAATCAATAAAACAAATAATAAAAAGAAACTGCTGGATAGGTAGACACAGATGGAGGGGTTGAAATTTTGGCTGCCACTAGACCATGAGGATATTATGTATTAGTGCAGAAAGGCTATAAATCAAGTGACATGTTGAAGGCAACAAATGAGGATTTAAAACTTATATAAGGGATCATAGATTTATTCTTACGAGGAAGCTCCGAGCATGCTCGGAGGATGCTCGGAGCTTTTTCAGTAGGCTCTTCTCTGCAGTTTATGTGAAAATAATTATCATGATCCATTAAGATGTCAATCAAATCTACACCACTTCTATAATAAGGAAAGTTGAGCATTATAGAGGAAGCTCAATTAACACCTGTGTAAACAACTGATCTATTCAAATACATTTTGCATGACATTTTACAAATTATAGAAAAGATAAGAAATTCTTCAACAGTACTGTGTAATGCTTGGAAAGAAATCTCAAGTCTCCACAAAAAAGTGAAAGTCATTTAACAAAAAATATACAATTATTATATTTATTAATCATTTCTTTTTTTATAATAAAAAAAATTCTCAAATCTTATAATTAGATGATATGATTTAAATATAATTTATATTATATAATATGCTACATAAAAGTTATCAAGACACAAACAATAGTCAGGGGGCGATACTAAACAAGTTATTTTTTTTAGTTACTTAATATATATTAATAGGTATTTTTTGTTTTTTTAAATTATTTGATATAAACTCAATAGTTATTTTAAATGTCAAAAGTGGACTAAATGTAGTTTTTAAGAATTTTTTCATCATTTCATTAAGTAAAATTAAGTATTTATCCAACTTGAGATGAGTATAGAGAGATTACTTTAAAAATAATGACAAAAATATTACTTTTATAAATTATTTTATACATCTTCGAAAAACTAAGCATACTTACAATTATTTAAGGAACATATGTAATTGTTTTTGATAAAGATTTCAAATTATAAATAACTTCAAGTCTTAATTAAATCACAAAGTTCCATCCATTTATATTTGTTCATCTCTAAGATTTTAAAGGAAAATGTTATTTTAATAGCCCCAAGAGACCAATCTATGACCAAGAAGTGTGGCATCAGAAAGGCAATTAGTGTTTCAGGAGGATTTAAATAGTTTTATACTGCATGGGGAAAATAACCAGATGTGGAAATTTGGTAAAGCTTGTAAAACCTGTATGAATGGACACCTATAGAAATAATATTAACAGAAGTTACTTATTCATGATATATAAGTAATATTTGAAACAACCTTGTTTTCAATGTAACTTGTATAAGTAATTTTGAAAATTACTTGTTTAAGTAATGCCCCTAACTATTAAAACAATGATAATTTTTTTTTTTTTTATAAAATAGCAAAGTTAGTTTTTTATAAAAAAAATTATGGCTACTCTAAGAAAAGTTGAGGAGGTAATACCACCATTGTTTTCCCTCTAGTACGTCTCACTTTAATTGTCATTTTTTTTTTATAATTGTACAGATTTGGTTTTATTTTAAATAAAGAAATACTTGGCATAATTATATAAGTGAAGTTTTATCCTGACCTGTACTTGAATGAAAATCTAATATAAAATTGTTTCCCCCTATCAGTCTTTGTTTAATTGGTATTTTTCCAAAAATATGTGCAGAATTTATCTATGTTTTAAATAAAGAAATACTTGACATGAGTAAAGTTTTTTCTTGTCCTGTACTATAGTAATAAAACAACATAATTTTTTCAGTGCATATAAGAAAGAAGACATCACCAGAATTAACCAACCAAATTCTATCCCCCCTTTTTTTCTCTGTTTACAAGCTTTAGTAGCCATGTCCCCTAAAATTGCAAAAATATTTTATATAAAAAACTAACTTTGCTATTTTATAAAAAAAAAATACCATTGTTTAGTTAAGGGCATTACTTAAACTAGTAATTTTCAAAATAACCTATACAAGTTATATTGAAAACAAGGTTGTTTCAAATATTACTTATATATCATGAATAAGTAACTTCTGTTAATATTATTTCTATAGGTGTCCATTCATACAGGTTTTACAAGCTTAAACAAATTTTCACATCTGGTTATTTTCCCCATGCAGTATAAAACTATTTAAATCCTCCTGAAACACTTATTTCCTTTCTGATGCCACACTTCTTGGTCATAGATTGGTCTCTTGGGGCTATTAAAATAACATTTTCCTTTAAAATCTTAGAGATGAACAAATATAAATGGATGGAACCTTGTGATTTAATTAAGACTTGAAGTTATTTATAATTTGAAATATTTATCAAAAACAATTACATATGTTCCTTAAATAATTGTAAGTATGCTTAGTTTTTCGAAGATGTATAAAATAATTTATAAAAGTAATATTTTTGTCATTATTTTTAAAGTAATCTCTCTATACTCATCTCAAGTTGGATAAATACTTAATTTTACTTAATGAAATGATATAAAAATTCTTAAAAACTACATTTAGTCCACTTTTGACATTTAAAATAACAATTGAGATTATATCAAATAATTTAAAAAAACAAAAAATACCTATTAATATAAGTAACTAAAAAAAATAACTCGTTTAGTATCTCCCCCTGACTGTTGTTTGGTCTTGATAACTTTTATGTAGCATATTATATAATATAAACTATATTTAAATCATATCATCTAATTATAAAATTTGAGAATTTTTTTTATTATAAAAAAAGAAATGATTATTTTAAAAATATAATGATTGTATATTTTTTGTTAAATGACTTTCACTTTTTGTGGAGACATGAGATTTCTTTCCAAGCATTACACAGTACTGTTGAAGAATTTCTTATCTATTCTATAGTTTTGTAAA